TTATGCAAATATGTTCATTGTGAGAGTTTGTCAGAAAAGAAGACATTGCTATCTATGACATCAAAATGGAAGATCAATAAAAGGTAACACAATCTTTTTTAGACTTGAAACTATTTTATTTGTATAATTACTTACGTTAAGTGATAATGGACAACTTGCTTTTCATTTAGAAACTATATACAAAGAAACAAACTAAAAATGATTAGAGACATCATAGTGATCGCTAAATGATAGCAATCATAAAGTACGATAAAGCAAAGACCATAGAAGAGGGGCGAAATTAAGATACCAGAGAGACAATCAAAAGTATTCAGGTAAAACTCTATTTTGATTCGACATACTTGTCACCAACTGGGACTATAATACTATTAGTATAATAGTCCCAGACACCAAGTAGATCTAAAAATAAACAGAGAACGCCTTAGCTAAAAAAGAAAAAGACAAACAGACAAATTGGAATTTTTAATCCGAAAGTATACATGCTTCCTTTATTTTTGTGACATTTCGACATGTTGTCATTAAAAGAAGTTTCATTGATGTGATTGTTATCAGTTACACAATACAAACCCCTCATCACTCTGTATGTCAAGATTTAGAATCCTGTAATTCAGTGTTTGTGTTATTGTATAAATATCATATTTTGTTTTTGTTTATACGTACATCAGGCCGTTAGTTTTTCTCGTTTAAATTGTTTTACATTTGTTATTGCGCGGCCTTAAAAGCTATCTATGCAGTATGGGTTTGCACATCGAAAAGTCTATACAGTCACTTTTGATTATTATCTTCTACGTCATTTGGTCTCAAGTGTTGTCTCATTGGCAATCATACCGCATCTTCTTATTTTTACATTAGTACAAATTCCGTGTTATGATGTCACAGAGTTGATCAGAATCGATAACATACTTGATGGAACATTTGTAAATGATTTGAACAGCCTTACCGGTAATAAATAATAAAATTTCGAGGTATATTTTTGCCATGGTTGCTGTTTTAGCCCTGCATGTCAAGCGGTTTCAGAGAATATTTTCTGAAAGTTAATTGTCTATCAGGTTTTCTGTAGGTTTCAACTTAATTAATTCTCATCTAAATTATTTACAACAGAAAGAACAGATATTTTAGCGTGCATAGATCTGAATTCTTACAGGTTTACATGCTGGAATTCTTTCTTTAACTGACCAAACCTTTCTCTGGTATTACATGGCCTTGATAATATTTCATAGTTTTTTGTGGCTTAAGACACAAATTTGTGTCTAATGTATAAATTATGAAAGTTAGTTAAATAGAAAAAAGTTTCAGAGTCAATGGACCATAACTGATGGGGCCGGCCAAATTATCTCCATGGAAGTACACGAGATGGGAGCTGCATACAACATATCATGGACATACCATTAGTGGTTCCACTTCAACTGACATTTCCTGTTTATAGCATACCTAAGTCTCAAATTTAATCTCTTGTCGAGGAGAGATAAAAACTGTTTTTTTCTGTAATGATGTGCAATAGAGTTATAATGAATAAACATAAATTAAACAAACAGACACAGTTTTTTGGTAGTTTATATGCATGTGTATATACAATATATTTCTACATATAAATTACGAATTATCAAAATCACCTTTGAGCATTACTCAAATCAGGTTAGGGCTATTACAGAAAAAAAATATGGGTGTTAGAATGCTTTAAATTATTTTTGTATGGGTTACAAAGTTCAAATTGTTTGCAAAGTTAAATGCAGTTGTGTTGGTGATGGCCATAGAAAAAAATAGGGAATGTTTTCATTGGACACAGATGATACCACTGCTTGCATATTATATAAAGGGACATAAGTATTGTGTATAAGTTTCATAAAATTTGGTTGAGATGACTTGAGTTGGAGAACAGAAACAAAAACATTTGTATAGAGGCATAACTCTACAAAAAAAAAATTGGTACACTCCCAAAATTCAAACTTGATCAGTACTTTGTTGAATAAGCATTGTCTATAAGTTTTATAACATTTGGTTGTAGTAAACTTATGTTGGATTACAGAAACGAAAACAAAATCAGCATTTTTTCCAGTTGTAAAGGGACATAACTCTAGAACGATTAAAGTGACACCACCAAAATTCAAACTTGATCTGTGTGTTGTGTTAACTAGCATTGTGTATAAGTTTCATAACATTTGGTTGAGGCAAACTAAAGTAAGATAACGGACAGTTTTGAACCAACTTTGGGACGTACAGACTTATATACAGACATACTGACGTACAGACAGACAAAGGTAAAATGTAATGCCCCCTCTGCTACAGCAGGGGCATATCAATGCCTTCTGACATCCCCACTCTTCTCAACATCATAGAGTTAATATCTATAATTTCTCAATAAATCAAACAACTTTTTTTATCCTACATATGTAATTTTACATGATTTAGCAATATGATTGGATGTACTTCAATTGCCTGTAAAATGATAAGATAAAGAGATAAAGCTTGTATCAGCAACATTATCATATCTTTTAAAAGTGCAGGATTAATCAGTCATGTCACAATGAGAGAGAACTTATCAAGTATACCTCTGGTAAGGCAATAAAGATTAGATACATGTAAAGGGCTGTGATTAATGCATCATAATTCATGCTTAACATATCACCAAGGAAAATTTAAATACTTAAATCATTTATGAATAAGCACTGGCTATTTAGGGAAAAAAATTCATAGGAATAAAGTGGAAATTTTGGCCTTTTGAATGGAGATACCCAATAAAGTCTAGCACAAATATAAATGGCCAGAATTTTCACATGGTATACAAAGAAAAAATTCCAACTTCAAATACTTAGGGTTGACCCCTGTATAGACAACTTTTGACTCATAAACCATAAATGTTATATTAAAACTGTCATATATATCACAATGGAAATTATACAAAGAATACAAAGAAAAAAGGCTTTCCATCATACTTTTTAATAAAATGTTGTATTGCAATAAAGTGATTAACCTGTTTTGAGCCCCTTTTTTGAGGGTCTAGAACAGGCTTTTTTTTATGGTCTTAAACATTGTTATAGTAAAAAAATTCTCATGTTTTGGTTCATAATAACTGAATAATTACACAGTGTCTACAGATATTCAACAACACCATCACAACATTATACCATTATACAAATCAATACAAAATAAGTTTTTGTTTTGCCTTTCAGATCATTGACTGCACTCACTGCTGATATTTTACAATATGGTTGTGTTCAAAACCAGATATCTTTACATATATTGATTTATTGTACATTAAAATTTTCACGAAATTTCTTATGCAAATCTTGTAAAATGCCAAAATGCAAAAGGTTTGATATTGTTATTTTTAGTTTTAGAAATTAAATTTACCAGATACTCATGTACACTGATAAATAAACTTTACTAAGAAATATACTAAACAAGGAAGCAAATGGCTCAATCTATGAGATAGCAATGCTCAGTTAGTGGTACACTTTGGTATTTTTACCAAATTCTAATATAGTTATAGCTTTCATTTAGATTGTAATCAGTATAAATACAGATTTAAAAAAAATCTCTGTATGCTTCTTAATTACATTTAAGACCTTATTTCCATAAGTACTATCAGTAAAATTGAAAGAAATCATCTCCGTTTTCCTCTTGAATTTAATATATTTCTTAACAATATCAAGAAACAAGGGGCCTGTGTCGTTCACCTGAATTTTTTGTTTACAATTGATGCATAAAATAATGCAACCATTATACTTTTGCTTAAGTTTCAGAGTTATAAGCCAAGAACTCATTTTACCATTACATGTATGTTCTGTTTTTAACCATGTCAAGCATGTTGGTGAGCAGGCAGGGTCATCAGACACAATTTTAAACTAGATACCCTCTTCATGATTGTGGCCAAGGTTGATTAAATTTGTCTTAGAAGTTTCAGAGTTATAAGCCAAAAACTGCATTTTACCTATATGTTCTATTTTCAGGAAAAAGATTTTTGTAAAATATGACAAAAATTTACAAATAATTGGTAAAAATTGACTATTTAGGGCAATAACTCCTTAAGGAGTCAATTGATAATTTTGGTAAGTTGACTTATTTGTAGATCTTACTCTGCTGAATATTATTGGGTTTACAGTTTATTTCTATATATAAAAATATTCAAGATAACTAAAACCTCCAAAATTTTCTTAAAATTAATATTTCAAGTGCAGCGTTACCCAACTACTGGTTGACTGATTTTAAACCTGATGAACATTTGTACCCATGTCAAATTTATTCTAAATGCTTTAGTTTGAGAGATATAAGCAAAAAACAGGTATTTTACGTTCTATTTTTAGTCATGGCAGCCATGTTGGTTGGCAGGCAGGGTCGTCGAACAAATTTTAAACTAGACACCCTTACATTTTGTATAATGATTGTGGTCAAATTTGGGTAAATTGGCCCAGTAGTTTCAGAGGAGAAAATTTTTGTAAAAGTTAACAACAACAGACTAGTGGATATATAATAGTCTTAATTGCATTCATATTACATCTCTTATTTTTATACAAATATAAAACATGATGTGTAGTCTATGTTAAATTCTTAAAACACATTCACATACAAAGGGTGAAACACAATAAAAGGGACATTTACAATATGTCTTCATTATGTTAGCTATACAGCTAAACTACTTAATACAATAAATACAGTTCTCTTTATCATGTTTATCAATATAAGCCATTGGATCCTTTAGCTTAATTCAAAATTTGAAAATTCTGACTAAAATAATTTTTAAATTCAGGTGAGATAAGAGATCCAAAAATTGTCCTTTTAAGAAATTTTGAAATTGCCCTTCAAAAATGACCATATTTTTTCCATTAAATTTATTCAAATTGTAAATGTATTCATTTTCAGATTATCTTAATGCCCATAAAAAATTGAAATAAAACTTAATTTTCTTATCTATACATTTTTAAATCTATTAAGTGTTGATCATTTATAGCCTTGAAAATATTTTCAGTCCACTACAACAATAAATATTTTTTGTTTAACTACTATGGCTGAATGTATAGATTCTTTGAAGTCTGCCTTAATGTAGCATCATTTATTGCTTGATACAAAATTTAAAAAAATAGAATAAGAGTGTGTCTTAGAATATGAAGGTATCCACCCAAACTTTCCAATTTTCAAAGTTAAAAAGGGGCATAACTCAAGAATGGTAAATGACTCACAACCTATATTTGAATTTTGTCTACCTGTCGTGGTTCTTAGCATTTTGTTTGAGTTTCATAAAACTTGGATCAGGAAAACTTTAGATTGCAAGAAAAAAAATATTGCAATTTTCCATGTTATAAAGGGGCATAATTCTAGAAAGGTTATTGACATACTGCTCAATTTGATCTTGTCTGCAAGTGAGTTTTTATTTAGAGTTGTGTAGGAGTTTAATTAAATTTCTATAAGTCATACTTAATTTAAAGTGCAGAGACGAAAATGGGATGGTCAGACAGTAAAGGGTAACTCTTAATGCCCCTATTGCCTATGTCTACAGGAAAAGGGGGGAAGGGCATAAAAATGATGAAAACAATAATTTGCTTAAAATTCTTGATGTACTAATTTAAAACCAGAAAATATTATTAAAAAAACAATTTTGTATCAGTTGGTTATAAACTGAAAAGATGAGTTTTTTTGGTATTATTTCAAATTCATATTATGAACACAATCATGTAGAATTGTTATAGATCTGTATTTGACATTAGAGTTTTTTGTTTGTTTGAAGAATGCATTTAAAAGTTATTTTGATGACCCCAAGTATATTCTATGGTAAATTTTCCTTTATTTTTGACTTATTTACAATTCCAGTAGTATGACTGACGGAAAAATATATTTGACTAAATTTTATTCACCTAAAGTATTGATGTTTTCAGAAAATTTATGGAAAAAGGTAGCCAATAATCCGGTTTTTCATTTATTAAGAATGGTGGTATTATTTTTTTCTGAATATAAAAGATATAACATTTTTCCTGTGATTTCTTTGTTTGGTATAATAATTAGTTGATTTTGGAATTATAATAGTGCTTTAAAGACTTGTTATATTTTATTAAAGACATACATTTCCAGAGGTGACTATTACCAGTAGTGTCTGTGACCTGAGCACTTGCCTAACCAAATACAAATTAGAATGTAAAATTAAAATGTAAAACATTTCCAGTAGTTTTTTCACTTACCAAATAAGTTTTATAAAAATCGAATATTATTAATTGAGGATAACAATTCTTTTTCAATTGTGCTGATCTCTATTTCTTACCCCAGGTGCAAACTTGGACTGTTCCCTTTATTGTGTTTAACCTGAACATAAAGCTTAACTATATAGTATGCCCTTAAATCAGGAATTAAATTGTTTATAATTAAAATGAATTTTAAATCTGTTAATAAGATAGACACCATGTTTATAATTATGACGAAATTGTCTAATAGATTGGTTTGTAACCATGGAACAGCATCCACCATTTCTACAATCATGAGATACAAACAAAGAGCCCTCAATGATATTGTAAGGCAAGCTTTTTCTTCTTGTGGTGAGTGTAAGGCTCTTGCAATGGAATAAGGGATCTTCCTGGTGAGGTATCATCAACAAAACAGTAACATCTGAACTGGTTTTGCAGTCAATTTTACCATAATTAATCTGAAAAAGAACATTTTAAAGATACTTTATCTTTCAAAAAAATAACAACTTTAAATTTGAATTGTTTGCATAATTTATGATATTTTGCATCTTTTACAACAATTGATTAAGGTAGGTGTAAAAACTTTAAATTTGGATCTTAAAATTTAAACTTTTAGATTCCAACCAATAAAAATCCATAAAAAAAAATCATTTATAAGCATTTATTAATGTATCTCTACCCCTTGGTATCAGTTTATTGTTTAAATTCTAAAAATGAACAATGAACTTATCAAAAGGAAAAATTTTCATTATTGAGTGATTTATCTGGGGAAATACATAATAGGTGTGTAACATCTGATTTTTGTTTTTGTTTTAAATCACCCGGAGATACACAGATTAGTTTTTAAACAGACATGTTTATGTAATAATTTTTGATATTAACTTAGTGTTTTCATCTTAAATTGAACATGTTCATATCTCTAATATGGCAATCATTAGCTTGGAACTATTGGACAATGAACAAGCTCCGGGGTTTAATGGTATTCATCCTCATATTGTATTATTTCATACTGCACTCATTCTATTTGAGCAGTCAAAATGCGTTGACTGTATATTTCTTTGTCACATACCGTCACTGACCTGATATCACTTTTCCTCATAAATATTTACCTCTTCAACCTGTTCTTGTTTCCAATGTTACAATGATGCGTGGAACGACTCAAACTTAATTATTTCATATTTTGGAAAAACATATTTCATTTGTTAATAATATTTGTTTGAAATCTATAAATGATTTATGTATAGTTGATAATTTAGTCCATACTCAAACAAATTTGTTCACCATCGATTGAGGGTTTCAACAGGTAATGTACAGTTCACTGTGTTGCATATTTCTCCGCCTGATATGAGGCCTTTTAAAGGGCGATTTTTCACAATATTCGAATCAAATAAATAATATTAACACATTAAACAACAATTGAAAATGTTTTTTTCTAGATTGCAGAGCCTCGCATTTCCCTGTTTTTAAGCCTCATCCTTATATCGTTGAAATGTCAAGTCAATGCACTATTATTGTCTATCTATCATGATAAAAGCATGTGAGAAAATCACAGTGAACAAACTTGTCTGGAATAAAAAAAATGGCATACTTACATGGTCATCTAATTTTAAATAAACAATTTCTCCAATGTTTAATTTACTTCCATCCTTCCTTTTCATGTTTCTGATTTCGTCTCCTACATTTCTTTTCACTCCTATAATTTGTTCTAATAAAAACTGTAAAAGGTCAATTTATTTAAGAAGACTATAATACATTTAAGTGATATCTGCTAAATTATTTAAGAATTCAGTTTTATTGTATAGAAAATGGTGTTAAGTGTTTCAAGAACAGCTGAACATATATTTCCTTTCATTCTTCCTTTTTAACTTATTTATTGACTCATTAAAATACTATACTTTGACTTTTAATTGTTTAACATTACAGGTGCCATTAGTTAAGGATAATAGGCTTACAATTCTATAGGATCTGATTTCAACTCCCAGTTTCTTGTGGGAAGTCATAATGCCTAAAACTTTAGCTTTCAGTGTTTTGGTTTATAAATTTATCCTGCAATTAGGTGTCTTATCATACATTAACAGCCCAACAGATATCAACAGGGTGTTCTGTTGTGCAGTTTCAGAGGAGCTGCGATGACAAACTGTTGCAGTAGTATATTGAGGCAAATAAGTTCAAAGGGGCATTACTCCTAGAAAAAAAAATTGAATCAATTTCTTGTCAATATGCACACCTTCAAAGTATGTCTTTATTATCTACCAGTTTCATGAAATTCTGGTGTGTGGTTTAGAGGAGTTGCGATGACAAGAACAGGACTGATAGACTGACATAAGGACAGACAACGGGTCAAAAACATGATACCCTCTGCAACTTCATTCAAAGCTTGTAGCAAGTTTAAAAAAAAATTATTGTATCCAAAACTAAAATCCTACCATCTTCTTTCTGTGTCCTATTTCCCATTACAAAAGTTTGAATCCGTGGATGATTTATCTCTTCAATTGTCTGTTGTGCAGGTTGAACTCTGTAAAAAAATATATTACTTTTAGTTCCCCTGTATAAACTCGATCAATTCACTCACAAACAAATAAAAGTCTGAAGTTTGTGAGTGACTTGGTCCAGTTTCTACACCAATAAATTCCTTTAAAAGGTGTTTACTCCTTATCATAAGTTATATGGTTCGCTACTGACCCCTACCGATCCTTAGAGGGTTAGTAAAATCCATAGGGGGTGAGGCCGGAGGCCGAATCACCTATGGATTTTATTCACCCTCTATGGTCCGTAGGGGGTCAATAGTTAACCGTATAACGAATTTATCGTTCGCTGGACTTTTTCTGCAGCATTTTACTGAAAAATAAACAATGAAACACAACAACAGTAATAGATGACGTCACCATAAACAGTAGATGTGACGTCATGAACCCCCTATGAAATTTACTAACCCCCTACGGATCCATAGGGGGTCACCACGTGACGGCTTTAAACCAATCAAAACGTGATAATTTACCCGCCGTGCGTTAAAATTCTTTATAATTGGAGATAAGGAATACATTTAACCATACTCATAACCCATATCACACGTAAATTCTATATTTGTGAAATTGAATAAGCCTAGCGCAAGAATATATATGTTGGTTAACTAAAATATATGTACTTCGTGAATTTGCTATCTGATAAAGAATAAACTACAAAAACTCTTATTATCATTCAAAAAAATGTTTTGTGTTTATTTTTTTATTTAACGATTAACGCTAAGTGAAAATAGATTTTGTTAACCTCGGTCCAGATTGTGTTATCATTGCCACTGTCAAGTATTTTGCCGCTATTCTTTCACGGACTGTAACTAACGTTACCTTTGTAACGTCAACACGTTTATTACGTTATTGTAGTCATACAAGCAAGTAGAGTCATTAAAAGCAATTAGAACTGTTCACACGTATTCTATTTACACAAGCGAAGTACTAACCAACTAAACCCAAACATTGGTGGTCTTGTTTACATTGGTTATGAAAAGAAGTTAGGTCAATGTCGTCTATCGAAAAAAAAAAACAACATTAAGAACAGCTACTCGAAGTTTTCTCGACTAATATCAATGTATTCCCAAATATGCAAATCATATAAGAATTATCACATGATAAATGCTGTCCTATACCTTTTCCCATTTGAAAACCATGTCCCACTGTCAATGATATGGCAAACTTCCTCAACATGAGCTAACTTCAAAGCTGTGTCTTTGTTGGCATTGTGGTGGTTTGTAATGCTCTGAAAATGTTTGACTATACCACACCAGCTTTCCCCTGTCTCTAAAATAAAAAAATAATTATACAATTGTAGGTAAATTGAAAAATATGTCAAATTAATAAGTTGCATTATATAACATTCAGTTCTTAATTTTTACAATTCTGTGTGGTCTGAGTTGTCTTTTTGTCTCTTCATCTTGAACATGTCTTTCAACAATTCCGGATATTTTTTTTTTACTTTTCTCAATTTTGAATTTTTTCAATTTGAAAATCGTTTTAACAATTACTTGACTACATGCTTTTATATGCTGGAATATCAATCCTGTTAAAATTCAACCAAATTGTAGTTTGTTTTAAAAAAAAATCAACTGATAAATTAGTACTAAAAAATCCAAACATCTTGAATAGCAAATTAACAAATAATCAACAGCTAGGTGTATAAAAATAACATTTATTAACTTTTACCAGTAGTATAACCTATAGGGACCCCATGAAGTCTGATTTGTTGCTCAGTATGGAGATTATGGTGTATTTTCTGTTTTTTCAATGTTTCTGGAAACTGCTTGTAAATGTTTTCATTAAATTGGTACTGCAGATCACCCAGCCTAGTGAGTTCCGATTCCAGCAATTTCATTTTGTTACTCAACTGAACAATCTGAAAATATAAATTTAATAATAATTACTAATGAACCACAAACCCAGTGCTGACATGAATATTAATTATATGGTCATATGTATAAATTAATTGTATGAAAAAGTATGAATTATTTGAAATAAGAAGTATTTTCTTATCCCAGGCATAGATTACCTTAGCCGTATTTGCCACAACTTTTTAGAATTTTGGGTCCTCAATGCTCTTCAGCTTTGTACTTGTTTGGCTTTTTACTTATTTTGGTCTGAGCATTACTGATGAGTCTAATTTGCTCTAAATGCTTTGGTTTCAGAGATATAAGCCAAAATCTATATTTTACCCCTATGTTATATTTTTAGCCATGGCGACCATCTCGGTTGGTTGGCCGGGTCATCAGACACATTTTTTTAAATTAGATACCCCAAGGATGATTGTGGACAAGTTTGGTTCAATTTGGCCCAATAGTTTCCGAGGAAAAGACTTTTGTAAAAGTTAAGACAACGGACGACAGATGCCAAGTGATGAGAAGAAAGGTCACTTGGCCCATTGGGCCAGGTGAGATTAAAACACATTACTATAACACCAGAGACCATAATTCTGTAACTTTTAGAACCAGAACTAAATGCAAAACTTTAAATCAAATATAAAATCAGTATCTTTAAGCACGAAAAAAAAATTATGGAAAGCTCATACATAGGTTATTTAAATAATAATTTGTGTCACAGTAAGTACTCATTGAAATAGTAAATTATGTGTTAAGCAAACATCAAACTTTAGTGTATAATGCATAACTAAACTATTGTTTAGCAACAAACACCAAGAGATGATATGCTAGTTTTCATATGTAATGTATACCTATAAGGGTTTACTTTTATAAATTATTACTTGGATGGAGAGTTAAATTATTGTCTCATTGGCACTCATACCACATCTTCCTATATCTATCTACAAAGAAAACTAGGCCAATAAGTGCCTAATTTTCTGGCAAGAAGTAAATAAACAATATAAGGTCAATGTCAGAAAAATATAAACTTTTTTGTATGAGGCTGAGAAACTGGGGAAGGGTGCAACTTAAACTAATACAATGATAGCTTTTTAAATTGTAACACAAATGTCCAACTTATATTCATCTCTTAATGAACCACTGATTGTGGAGAAAGTGTTCCATGATGAAATTGACATTGCACAAGGTCCAAGGACACAGTTATCGTCCTTTGGTTTTCGTTGTCTACAAATATAGTCCCTAGTGTGAACAGTGTATAACTTGCATTTTTTTTTGATGCACTTTCCCAATTTATTTCTTGATATTTTATGCATGAAATATTAAGTAAGGGGATGAAATTACATGTTAAAAAAATTTGGGTGCTGAATCTTTATGTTAAGTAGTGATTTGATCCAGTTAAAAAAGGTCAAAAATTAGAATGTCTGAAGCTGTCAAACTGAATTTTAGCCCCCCTTAACACAGAATTGTCAATATTTTGAGTTAGAGCTGGTAGAATTTTCTATAATTTTGATATTATTTGTATCAATAGTAGTACACTACACTGTAAAAATCTTTTTAAGATAGAGCAGGTGCAATTTTTTTAATTTGAATTTATTGTCTAAAAGAAATGCACTACGAAATAACTGTGTTCTCGGGCCACAAACTATAGCTGTGTTACTTTATTTAAGAAATAAACACAACTAGTTGCAGTATAAATGAGAATATTTTCCTAAGAATGCTTCCTTTTGCTTATGTAATATAAAACAATTTATCAAAATAGTTATGATACTTGTAAGATAGTTGAACCTGTTAGTTTTACCTACCTCAGACAATAGACACCAAAGTTTTACTATTTCTTTACTAAATCCTGCGTGATGAACTGTAAAGGGTGCAAGTTGTACCTAGATTTAGAAATAAAAATGCTCTATGCTCTATATTAAATATACATTTATGCAGTATTTTTATTATTTCAAACAGATACTGCATATGGTAACACTATTTTACTTGTTGATCGATTAGTTAAAATAGTTACAGATTACAATATGTCTATATAGTTTAATCATTGGATTAAAAACAAAAGATATTTATAGATTATCGTTGATCATCTCAAGAGATTGATTTTCTTGCTTCAGCTGGACGGGGAAAGTAAGATAAGCAATTGAGTTGAGATGACCAATGATAATCTCTTTATCGCTATTTAGCCTATGAAGATGTTGTTAATTTCCTGGTCAACAGCACATGTTCCCTTAATTTCTAGCGATAATTTTCATCACTCAACTCTATTTTCATATCACTGACGACTCCGCTGAGAAAGGAAATTATCAGTCAACAAGATCAAAGGAAAATTCGTAAAATAGCAATAACAGTATATATTCTGGAAAACTGGAAAAAGCAAGGGTATATCAGATGGTTTTTTTAACCCTAATTGGAACCTCAATGTACATTAATTGTTACTATGATACAGTTCCAAATGTGTAAGATGTTATTTGCCATAGGTTTCATGGATAGATGCAAAGTGATGATTATGACAGTCACAATAGTTTACATGGTCTGTTTCTGGATTCAACTGCAATTTCCCATGCATTGCTAAGTAATAAGTATCACTCAATTGAAATCACCAATCCACAACTGATTCCAGATTTCTATATAAAACATATAATTCTTTAATGGATTCAGCAATTTAATGAGTTGGCACTTACAAATGACCTGAAGTCTTTCCCTTGGCTTGATTTGTGATATTTCACAAAGTTTTCTCCACATTTGTGATGAAAGCCCTTCCAGTCAGCTGCATTTAACGTTAGCTGTAAATTTTCCTGTAAGAAAGAACCAGAAGTATTAAAAGAACCAGAATTATCTTCAACTATCCTTAGCCAGCAACAAAACGGTTTTGATTATGCAATCTTTACCAAAAATGTTTTACCAAAGATTGATCTTAAAGTGTGCTGTGATGCAAAACACTTCATAAATTTAAATACAATGTATAAACATTTCATAAAGATAAGCTGGCTTTTTATCAGCTGGAATTCACAACTGTATTCTACAATTTTCCAATAATAGAGACAATTACTCAGGATCCATTAAAAGTAAAGGGAATACATATTGTAAATTCGCCTAATCAGAATCTAAAGGACTATGGGTAATCTCATTGTTCGTACACCAAAATGAAAATAAAGTCACGTCATTGGTTGCATTTCTATTGTTTATCACGTTTTAAACCAATCACAACGTTTTGGGGTACGCTATTGTAAATATTACCCAGAATGCATTAGATTCTAAAACGGTATTGAACTTATTCTAACATTTGCATAGCTCAGTCCAAAAGTCTCAATGGTTAAGTTCAAATATGTATTTCATATTTCATAATTTGTTTCTTTAATGGACAATAGTATATGTCAATTTGATTTCAATGTATGTTCAGTAAATAATAATTAATAAATATAAACTAGAGGCTCTAAAGAGCCTGTGTTGCTCACCTTGGTCTATGTGCATATTAAACAAAGGACACAAATGGATTCATGACAAAATTGTGTTTTGGTGATGGTGATGTGTTTGTAGATCTTACTTTACTGAACATTCTTGCTCCTTACTATTATCTCTATCTATAATGAACTTGGCCCAGTAGTTACAGTCGAAAATATTTTGCAAAAATTTACAAAAATTTACAAAATTTATGAAAATTGTAAAAAATTGACTATAAAGGGCAATAACTCCTTAAGGGGTCAATTGACAATTTTGGTCATGTTGACTTATTTGTAGATCTTACTTTGCTGTACATTATTGTTGTTTACAGTTTATCTCTATCTATAATAATATTCAAGATAATAACCAAAAGCTGCAAAATTTTCTTAAAATTACCAATTCAAGGGCAGCAACCCAACAACGTGTTGCCTGATTGATCTGAAAATTTAAGGGCAGATAGATCTTGACCTAATGAACAATTTTATCCTTGTCAGATTTGCTCTCAATGCTTTGGTTTCAGAGATATTAGCCAAAAACTGCTTTTTACCCTATGTACTATTTTTTAGCCATGTCGGCCATCTTGGTTTGGGGGCGGGGTCATCGGACACATTTTTTAAACTAGATACCCTAATGATGATTGTGGACAAGTTTGGTTAAATTTGTCCTAGTAGTTTCAGAGGAGAAGATTTTTGTAAAAGATTACAAAAATTTACGAAAAATGGTTAAAAATTGACTATAAAGGGCAATAACTCCTTAAGGGGTCAACTGACCATTTTGGTCAAGTTGACTTATTTGTAGATCTTACTTTGCTGAACATTATTGCTGTTTACAGTTTATCTCTATCTATAATAATATTCAAGATAATAACCAAAAACGGCAAAATTTCCTTAAAATTACCAATTCAGGGGCAGCAACCCAACAACGGGTTGTCCGATTCATCTGAAAATTTCAGGGCAGATAGATCTTGACCTGATAAACAATTTTATCCTTGTCAGATTTGCTCTAAATGCTTTGGTTTCAGAGATATAAGCCAAAATCTACATTTTACCCCTATGTTCTATTTTTAGCCATGGCGGCCATCATGGTTGGTTGACCGGGTCACCGGACACATTTTTTAAACTAGATACTTGAATGATGATTGTGTTTAAGTTTGGGTGCATTTGGCCCAGTAGTTTCAGAGGAGAAGATTTTTGTAAAAGTTTACGGACGACGGACGACGGACGACGGACGCAAAGTGATGAGAAAAGCTCACTTGACCTTTCAGGTCAGGTGAGCTAAAAAGAAGATGTGGTATGATTGCCAATGAGACAACTCTACGCAAGACACCAAATGACACAAAAATAAACAACTATTAGGTCACTGTACGGCCTTCAACAATGAGTAAAGCCTATATATACACATTAACTTATGATCAATAATCATTAAAATTGAGTTAATTTTTACATTTATAATTTATAACTTGCTTTCATAAATGTAAGTTGCAGATGTGTCAGTATGATAACATGTTTTCCATATGAAAGAATTTAACAACATTATGTGCCATTATGTGTTTGACCCAATAGAAATAATAAACATTTGATGCTTCAAAAAATTGTGGTTATAATGCACCAATAGATACCATAGCTTGGTGTTGAGATTAGGATTAAGAATTTGAATCACACTAATTAATTTTACTTAGAACATAGACCTGTGAAAAAAAAATTATATTGTAGGCATCCAAAAGAAATAAATCAGACTATTACATAAATAAATTTTATAGTATTTAAAAGAATGATTAGCATTAAAACAAAAGATATCAAGTCACAATTACCTTCTGCTGGTCAGTACAGTTGCCTAGCATACATTTTAATAGGATTGCAACTTCTCCTAAGTATATGCAATGAAGCATATCTGGAGGAATGTCCCTGAAATTATAATTAAAAAGAAAACAATAATTAAACAGTGCAGCTGGTTGTTTAGCTTTAGTAAAACTGTGGATTTCTTGATATCATATGTGATACCTATTGTAAGAATATTTTTATTGCAGTTTTATTATAAATTATTGATTAAATCAATAATGAATCTTGATTTAGGTGTAACAAATTTACAGAATACAAATATATATGGTTCTTAAATTAACTACCCTGCACCTGTACCTTATGATTTATTGTAAACATTACTGTAATCCACAACTTCTGTCTCAGAAAGTTAGACATAGGGATAGTGATCCAGCGGCGGCGATGCCAACTAACTTTTTAAAAGCTTTATGATCTAAGAAGTTGGAAGACATGCATGTTTCATACTTTGTTTATGCCTCATGTTCATAAGCTTTTGCCTGTCATACGTCCATTGTCCTTAACCTCACTTTCATGGTTCGGTGATAATTTGAAAAAAAAAGTTCAGATTTTTTGTAATGTAAACAATTGGCAGAGCTCAGCATTCTCAACATTCCTGTGTATGTGTGGGCCTCACAATATATATGAAGTGTGCATGTCCAAAGCTAAGTTTCAATTTTCAGTGCATGTAATTGTTTTTGCTTCTTGTATATATAACTATAAAATGATTATATATTGTAATTCTAATAATGCTTTCACACCAAATAAAATAATATATAATAAAGTCATGCATACCTGTGTGGATCCCAATGAGCAGCTTTGTTCATTTATTCAGCCAATATTTTCTTTTTTATCCCAGTCATTGTTGATGTTTCTGTACTATTTTCAATCTCTTTTAGAATTTCCTCAGTTTTATTTTTTGTTCTTAATTCTCCAATAAGTAAGTGGTTATTTCGATACTGACAAAAAAAGGAACAAGATAAAATATATATGATTAATTTTTAGTCATTGGGTTTTTGTAAAAAAAAAATGTGATCCAATTCAAGACCATAAAATATAGGACCTGAATAAATTAGCAGACTGGGAACATTGATGGCTCATAAAGTTTAATGCAGACAATTCTAATGCAATTTTTATGTAACACTTTTTTTCATTGGCTAAAAGTTACCATCAAATCCACAGTTGACCAGGCGTAACTAAGGAGGGACCCGCCATTTTGAATTGATTGAATCAATAAATGTTCAATTACTAATATCATCAAAAATAAAACAACACCTACCTCGAATTCACCGTTTTAATGTAATTTTATCCGAATTTGAATCGCAGAGGTAACGTAATAACCTCCAGTTTGTAAGTTTTCATTTGTATGACGTCACGTTTAGCCATGACGTCTTCGAGCCAAAATCATTCACTAAGTTTCGCAGAATTTATTTTGTTTGTCAAATTTATACATTTTTTCAAGCTTTATCGTATTATTTCTTTTTGAAATGTATTAGAATCGGAATAACAGTACTGTAGTTAAAGAGTTGCCACCGTTAATTTTGATTTGAAGGCCGCAAATCTCCGTTTTACTGTCTCCGCTAAGCGTCACCAGTAAAACTACATTTGCGACCGTCAAATGGACAATTGACGGTGGCAACTTTTCAACTACAGTACTTTTATTCCTTAAATGCAATGTCATTTCTATCAGCAAGAAATGATAATGATCAAATTCAAGGGGAGATAATAAATATTTAAACAGGTTGTTAATGCAAATCAGTCAGTTTCAGTGCTATTTTGTGAAATATCAAGAAAAGTTTTGACATATATTTACAATTGGTAGAGCTAAACATTCTGAACATTTTTGCCCCTTTCAGATTTTCAATATTTATAACAGCTTCAAAATAATAAACAAAACTTGCTTTTTACCCTTATGTTTTATTTTCAGCCATGTAGGACATGTTGGTTGGCAGGTGGGGGTCATCAGACACATATCTTAAAACAAGACACCCTAATAATGATTGTTGCCAAGATAAGTTCAATTTGGCTAAATAGTTTCATAGAAGAATTTTGTGAAAGTTTAAGAACGATGGCAGAAATTACCAAGTGATGGCCATGAGAGCTAAAAGAGGATTTTAGTTTTTGGACAAGTAACCCAAAAGAGCTTTAAGCAGTGTTCTTGAACTTTTGGGAACTGTTTATAGCTATTGACATGAATTTCATATTGTATAAGTCATAGATTTAAAACTGTGTCCTGTAGACCTAGCTTATTTCAACAGAAGAAAAAAAGAAAACAATTTATCATATGTCAATAAACCTTTATAATATTACACAGCAATGGAAAAAAGGAAACCTGAGACTATTGTTGACTCAGATACTATTTATCAGTGATAATATTTATCATTAATTGTCTTACCCTGCAAAATCTACAGTTTTCTTTAGCTGCAGCACCCATGTGGTGACAAAATTCTGAGGCCATACTGTTGTCCATTAACCCAACTGCTATTTGGGATGTTACAATAACATTTTTATTGTAAGCTGCATCATACATTACTTTTCCTTCACTAAAATTTAAATACATTGATCAAGTTTGGGATTTCATGTATTCTGATTTGACTCAAAATTCTCATATTTGATTTATAACAATGTAAAATATTTATCCAAATTATAAAAATTCTAAAATAAACAATATAATAGCTCGATAATATGTAGCTTCATTTCTTGTGTATTTTAGTCTAGGCGCCATATAAATAACTGTCAATTGGACCACTGATAATAAGCGATATAAATCATAGCGCTATAGACAGTTAACCAAAAATCAATGCAAACAATTTGAAAGAACAAACATTAAGCATTCATTGTACATAGATATAGGAAGATGTGGTATGAGTGCCAATGAGACAACTCTCCATCAAAATCACATTTTATAAAAGGAAACCATTATAGGTCAAGGTACGGTCTTCAACACAGAGCCTTGGCTCACACCGAACAGCAAGCTATAAAGAGCCCCAAAAAATGAATAGTGTAAAATCATTTAAACATGTATATTTATTTAATGAATTGATTAAGGCAAATTAATTAATATTTTTCAATTGATTTGTTTTATTGTCCTATACAAGTATATATATGGTTTAGGTGGGGATCGGGCCCATAGTGTTCTAGTTAACCCTTCCCTTATTCAGGCCCCTTAAAATACCCCTAAATAGACCCCAATGCACAAACGAGAGATCGATGACTCCGCGAGACATGTTATTGAGTTCTTTTCAATGTTTGTCTCTGTTCAACCTAAATCTGATCAAATAGAGATGAAGTACTAGCCATTAGCAACTACCACCTTACAGGTGTTGCTCTACACTGACCCTCTCTTGTAAAAATATACACATCAAAGAGTCTTTTTCTTGAAAGTATATTTTTTTTTCTATTTTGCTAATTAATGTTTACACTTACTAAAACATGTCATTCAAATCATTCACCACAGGTGTAACGAATGACCCGTCTTCTGGTTTTGTTACTCCAATGAAATGATGTGATGATTTCTTCATCTTTTCAGAAGTTGGTAATCCTGCCAACTGAAGAGTCCACACACTTAATGGGTTCCATTTTTTTGACCTGTATAATGTTTATATAAGTAATTGTCTTATACAGTCTAATGAAGTTTATGTAAGCAATTGTAGGCTTGTGTACACAGCTTTGATCATGTTGATCAACAATGAAAAAAATCCATACAGTATTTCCCACATGAAAAAATGTCACTATTCAACTGAGAAAACAAAAGTTTTAATTTATAACAAAACAATTTACGAAAAACAAATATGGTTTACACTAGTTCAGTGGTTTCATCAGAGAAGTCAAATTGAGAATGGAAATGGGGAATGTGTCAAAGAGACAACAACCCGACCATAGAACAGACAACAGCAGAAGGTCACCAACAGGTCTTCAATGCAGCGAGAAATTCCCACACCCGGAGGCGTCCTTCAGCTGGCCCCTAAACAAATATATATACTAGTTCAGTGATAATGAACGCCATACTAAACTCCAAATTGTACACAAGAAACTAAAATTAAAAATAATACAAGACTAACAAAGGCTAGAGGCTCCTGACTTGGGACAGGCGCAAAAATGCGGCGGGGTTAAACATGTTTATGAGATCTCAACCCTCCCCCTATACCTCTAGCCAATGTAGAAAAGTAAACGCATAACAATACGCACATTAAAATTCAGTTCAAGAGAAGTCCGAGTCTGATGTCAGAAGATCTATTTTCATATTTAATGATAGATAAAGAACGATCCACAATGACAATAACTTTCACTAACCCTTTTGGGGGTATTGATACCTGTTATCAAATCACTATTTTAAAATTTAAATAATTTTACAATTTCTTGCATGTTTATACTCTATGTACCTGTTACCACTTGTGTCATCTACAAATATATTTATAGGAACTGTGTATATGTCCATGTCTAGCTGTTTTGACATCTCAATCAGATTTTGTACTCTTTCAACATCATCACCCTCATACACCTAGTGAAGAATAATAGAAAGTGAAACAAACATCATCCAAAATACACTAAAAACTTAATTGATTTTTTGACCTAGTTTTCTCTCAAATTTTTTGAGAAAAAAAATAACGTTTCATGTATTTGCCTTATCTCATCTGTCATGTCATCTGTCTTGCTGAAGATAATTATGTCTTTTTGATTCCATAAAAATAACCATTCAATAACTTGACAAACAGATTAATGAGTAATGTTTTTGCTTTCCCTGCTAAAGTACTTACTTTTTTGTATGATTAGTGACTGAACATATGTTTTTCTTTTAAACTAGTGGCATACTTTTTTTTAAATTTATTTTATTGGTAATTTTTGTTTTAGTAATTACTTATATATAGACGTAGTGTCCCGTACGAAATAAGAAGTAGGATTCCACCTAGACACTAGTAGGAATGTAGTAGGAATCTACCTAGAATCAAAGATTCTGTATAGAAAGTAGACGGACAGGGAAAATGAACAAAATTCTGACTGGATTTTTTTATTTTCTCACTAGCAAAATCCTACCATCTAGCAGGAATTTTAAAAGTCTGTATGGATTTTTTTCTGTTTTGAAAATCTTAAGTGGGAATTTAGACAGGAAATATGATTAGATTACTCATTTTCCTACTACAAGATTCCTACCAGAATTTATTTAATCCTACTAGAAAATGTTTTTACATGGAATCTTTTTAATTATCTTAAACTGGATTCCTGTTTGCTAATGACACAAATTTTGCTGTGTTGAATGCAACCAAGTTCCAGTTCACAAATTCAAAAGTTAGAGGGTAGAAGAATGAAAAGTTGTGTTGGAACACAACGCTGCAAGGATCAAACAACTACAATATTGAAATATGAGAAAATATGGCTCATGTTGATTGAAGGTAATTTTTATACTTTTAAGGTAGATGGGGTGTCTAAATTATAATCCATAGAATTTTTTTAAAATTTGCCAAAATGTAGTTAATATCATGCTTTTTTAAAAAATATAATAAAAAGAATGGGTCACGGGCCTTATTTTCACGCTACAGGTTGTGCAAAATTGACAGATTTTGTATAGATTATGCATGGAAAACCCAATTTTCTGCCATAAAATGAAAACTACACCATAGAATTTTGAGATAAAATATGATGAGATAGCACTAATAGTATGCTTTCAGATAAGAAAAAGAAAAAATGGGGTCACCGTACTCGTTTTCTTGCTACATAATAAAATAGGTAAATTCCTAACACATTCTATTGTAAAAATAACCTTATGTGAATTATCTGCCCTTACATTTGAGTTGCCTACCCTTATGTGTAAAATATATATACTAGTTCAGTGATAATGAACGCCATACTAAACTCCAAATTGTACACAAGAAACTAAAATTAAAAATAATACAAGACTAACAAAGGCTAGAGGCTCCTGACTTGGGACAGGCGCAAAAATGCGGCGGGGTTAAACATGTTTATGAGATCTCAACCCTCCCCCTATACCTCTAGCCAATGTAGAAAAGTAAACGCATAACAATACGCATATTAAAATTCAGTTCAAGAGAAGTCCGAGTCTGATGTCAGAAGATCTATTTTCATATTTAATGATAGATAAAGAACGATCCACAATGACAATAACTTTCACTAACCCTTTTGGGGGTATTGATACCTGTTATCAAATCACTATTTTAAAATTTAAATAATTTTACAATTTCTTGCATGTTTATACTCTATGTACCTGTTACCACTTGTGTCATCTACAAATATATTTATAGGAACTGTGTATATGTCCATGTCTAGCTGTTTTGACATCTCAATCAGATTTTGTACTCTTTCAACATCATCACCCTCATACACCTAGTGAAGAATAATAGAAAGTGAAACAAACATCATCCAAAATACACTAAAAACTTAATTGATTTTTTGACCTAGTTTTCTCTCAAATTTTTTGAGAAAAAAAATAACGTTTCATGTATTTGCCTTATCTCATCTGTCATGTCATCTGTCTTGCTGAAGATAATTATGTCTTTTTGATTCCATAAAAATAACCATTCAATAACTTGACAAACAGATTAATGAGTAATGTTTTTGCTTTCCCTGCTAAAGTACTTACTTTTTTGTATGATTAGTGACTGAACATATGTTTTTCTTTTAAACTAGTGGCATACTTTTTTTTAAATTTATTTTATTGGTAATTTTTGTTTTAGTAATTACTTATATATAGACGTAGTGTCCCGTACGAAATAAGAAGTAGGATTCCACCTAGACACTAGTAGGAATGTAGTAGGAATCTACCTAGAATCAAAGATTCTGTATAGAAAGTAGACGGACAGGGAAAATGAACAAAATTCTGACTGGATTTTTTTATTTTCTCACTAGCAAAATCCTACCATCTAGCAGGAATTTTAAAAGTCTGTATGGATTTTTTTCTGTTTTGAAAATCTTAAGTGGGAATTTAGACAGGAAATATGATTAGATTACTCATTTTCCTACTACAAGATTCCTACCAGAATTTATTTAATCCTACTAGAAAATGTTTTTACATGGAATCTTTTTAATTATCTTAAACTGGATTCCTGTTTGCTAATGACACAAATTTTGCTGTGTTGAATGCAACCAAGTTCCAGTTCACAAATTCAAAAGTTAGAGGGTAGAAGAATGAAAAGTTGTGTTGGAACACAACGCTGCAAGGATCAAACAACTACAATATTGAAATATGAGAAAATATGGCTCATGTTGATTGAAGGTAATTTTTATACTTTTAAGGTAGATGGGGTGTCTAAATTATAATCCATAGAATTTTTTTAAAATTTGCCAAAATGTAGTTAATATCATGCTTTTTTAAAAAATATAATAAAAAGAATGGGTCACGGGCCTTATTTTCACGCTACAGGTTGTGCAAAATTGACAGATTTTGTATAGATTATGCATGGAAAACCCAATTTTCTGCCATAAAATGAAAACTACACCATAGAATTTTGAGATAAAATATGATGAGATAGCACTAATAGTATGCTTTCAGATAAGAAAAAGAAAAAATGGGGTCACCGTACTCGTTTTCTTGCTACATAATAAAATAGGTAAATTCCTAACACATTCTATTGTAAAAATAACCTTATGTGAATTATCTGCCCTTACATTTGAGTTGCCTACCCTTATGTGTAAAATACAACCATAAATATGATAAAATATGTCATTTTCTATATTGAAATGAAAATTCTTACACATGAATTGCCTACTACTCTCAAAATTTGTACCTTTTATTATAGATCTAGACTGATTGTTTTCTGGTATTTCAAAATCCAAGATGGAGGAAGACACCCTATCTACCTTAATATGAAATTTGTTATCTGTTTGCCAATATATATTAGTTAATTCAACAACAGTGCATAACTTTCCTCATTATTTGTTCATAACTCTTTAATTTCATCTAATCAACATTTTTGTCCATCTACATATATAACACAATTTCTAACTTGAATACATCACAGTTTCCTCATACATTTCAAAAGTCTTTTTTTTTTAATAAATCTATTCCATACATTTCCTTTGTTCTTTGTTGTTGAGATTCAAACTTAAATGATTGACCCAGTTGTGTATTTGTGAATATACACTTACATTTTGTATATTTTTAGATTCCTACTAGAAAATATGTTTTTTCTATGTGGAATTTTGAAAAATTCCTACCAGGTTTTCTAGTAGGAATTTTATTTTCCCGCCAAATTATTCCTAATAATTTAAATATTCATGGTAGGAATATACAATATTCCTACTAAGAAATTCCTGCTAATTTAAATTTTTAGTCTTATAATTTTCCGTGTGGATTCCTACTGGAGTCTGACTGGAATATAACTCTTTTCTGGTAGGAATTCATTACAATATTCCTACTATATTCCGTGTTCATTCTGTGTGAAATATTTCATACAGGGTTATTTAATTTGATCGCATCATCATCAAAATATAAACACACAGGTATTAATCTAGTAGCTCATAATATTATAGGATTAAACGCCTTTTTAAAGGAATTTAATGGTGTATAAACTCGACCAATTCACTCACAAACAAATAAAAGTCCGAAGGACTTTTATGATATGTTTGTGAGTGACTTGGTACAGTTTATACACCAATAAATTCCTTTAAAAAGGCGTTTTATCCTTATAATTCTTTAAAATTGGAGATAAGGAATTTATTTTTCCACACTCGTAACCTCTATCACACGTAAATTGTATATTTGTGTCATTGAATAGGCCTGGCGCATGAATATATTTGTTGGTTAACGCAAAAATATGTACTCCGTGAAATTTGCAATCTGATAAAAAATAAACTACAAAAACTTTTATTATCATTCAAACGAATGTTTTGTGTTTATTATTTAATTTATATATTAAGACCTATTAATGCGAACTGAAAATTAATTTTGTTAACGTCAATCCGGATTGTGTCATTATCGCCGCCATCTTGTTTACATTGGTTACGAAAAGAAGTTCGGTCAACGTCGTCTATCGAAAAATAAACAACGTCAAGAACAACTACCGGAAGTCCTCTCAACCAATCATATCAACGTATTCTCTAATATGCAAATCATATAAGAATTATTTTTTTATAACAAACTCACATTTGTCTGGTCCAACTTCAACAGATCATTTGCTATCACAGATATATTTCTTGTACTACAAATAGAGATTACCGTGAATTATATTAAAACTCACAGTTACCAAAAAATACAAACATAATAAACATTTCCTGAAAATATCTATTACTTGTACTGCTGAAATTTTTGTATATGATTTAATTTTTACATCTAGATATGGTGAGTTTGAATTAGTAACTTAATTTCAAAAGTTTTAATGTGAACCAAATGATTACATTACATGTATGTTTCAGAAGAATCCGTTATTTTGATTGGATAACAACGCTTGTTCGTCATACTAGAATTCACCTTCATAACCCAAAAGTTCATAATGACACATGCTATCCCAAAAAAGTGCACAGGTTATTTAAAGAAATGATAAAAATAGATTGTCCATTGTCATAGCGAAAAAATGTAATTATAAATATTGAATGCTTCTTTTACTAATTTCATATGGTTGTAAAAGCGTTGACCATGCGCACATTTTTAGAATGAAGCGCTTCCACGCTTCGTACAAAATGTACTTCGGTCAAAGCTTTTACACCCCAATGAATTTACTTTTACACCCCAATGATTTACTTTTACACCCCAATAAATTTACAAAAAGAAGCATTCAATTCTTAAATGAAACTGTTTACAGAGATCTCCCCTATTGATAATTAGATTTAAACATATTTAACTTCACTTGTCCTATTTTCTCAGTTATTTTTATTCACTGGGACCTTTTAATTTCTTCTATTAAAGAGAAATCCCATCACTACCTGAGTAAAAAAATATCCTTCATGTAGATGAAAGTGCATATATCAACTAAAATAAACAGTTGCGCCATGAGCGCATGATACGCCCGTCGCCTTGTGTGTGAATTTTTATGCAATAAGCATAAATAGTTTCTGACATACGGCGTGACATGCGAAAACCCCCTTCTTTTTTTTACAACAAACTCAATATCTCTAAAACTAAATTTTGAATCAAAACCAATAAATTACACAGATCTTTAGATTAATATAACTAAGAAGTGTGTAAAATTTTAAGCAATAATCATAAATCGTTTTTGAGATACGGCGTGACATGTGAAAAACCCCTCCCCCTTTTTTTACAAAATACTCAATAACTCAAAAATAAAATTTTGAATCAAAACCAAAAAGTATACAGATCTTTAGATTAATATAACTAAGAAGTGTGTAAAATTTTAAGCAATAATCATAAATCGTTTTTGAGATACGGCGCGACATGTGAAAAATCCCTCCCCCTTTTTTTACAAAATACTCAATAACTCAAAAATAAAATTTTGAATATCACCAAAAAGTTTACAGATCTTAAGATAAATATAACTAAGAAGTGTGTAAAGTTTTAAGCAATAATCATAAACTGTTTTTGAGATACGGCGTGACATGTGAAAAAAAACACACACCTGTTTTAGTTACTAAGTCCTGTAACTCAAAAAGTTTTAATCTTATTTTCACCAAAAAGTATACAGATCGTTTGACCATCATAAGAAACAACTATGTTAAGTTTCATGAAATTTGGATAAGTCATTCTCAAGTTACAGTGCGACATGTTTACGCCGGACAGACAGACGAACGGACACCAGACATTTGTATACCATAATACGTCCCGTCAAAAATTGACGGGCGTATAAAAAACTGCATGAGTGCATGTTGTATTTATTCAATATTATATTTTCAATCTGTTCAATGTTAATAATTAAAAAAAAATGCAGATTCACTGGTTTGATAGCAAGATAAATTCCTGCTACACATTGAAATAACCATGCACTGTAATTTTAAGAAGAAAAAACAGCATTTAATGATGTTCAATTGCTGTCTTCAACTTTTATAATGTACACAAAATGAATGTATACCAGTTCATTATTTTATTTCTCTTTACATTTGTAGTGTTTATACCAACCTTTCACAGTGACTTTACAGATGCATATACTTGATGTGTATTTTCAAATTCCTAAAAAACATAATAATAAGTGTCAATGACAATATAGGATGTAGTTGCCATGTCTAAACAGATGACTGAATCTGAGCTAAAGAAGTCATATACAGTTATAAAAATATTAGATACATGTGTGAACAAAGGTTTTCTTTCATAATGTGTTTAAATTTAAAATGTGTTATTTGTTTAAGGCAAGATCCACAACTTTCGTTCATATATATTCAGAATTGTTACACTTAACATGCAATGATAACATTTTAATTCAATTATACAACGTACAACATGTCAGAGTAGCTGTACTTTATTGACTTAAAATAACCTTATTCCTGTGTCATTTGGTCTCTCAGAAGTGGAAATAACATTTCTTCATTAAATCTACATTATTACCTGGGAAAAAAACTGAACAACAGTCCCACACTCTCCATTTGTGCCATTCTGAACGTTGTCACCAATATATATTCTTTCTGAAGATGAATGTTTTGCCATCAAAGACTTTATTTCAGTCTTCCACTTGCTTCCACTACTTTGACCTTCAAAAAAGTTGCTTTGTCTGGGAAATCTATTTTTGAAAGAAAAAAAATGTTATTATAAAGGGGCCATCATCAGAGGAGGAATGGAAGATTAATGTTTGCACCCTTTTAATAAAGATACAGTAACTGTGATAACCGGTGGTTCAGAGTTAACCTGAGCTGTTCAGTAAACAGGCTGTTCCGTTAATTGGCGGTACAGTTATCAGGTAGATCAGATATATATCAGGTGGATAAATATGAATCTTGTTGATATCTAAACAGGTTCAATTATCCTGTCAGTGAAAAATCACGATGGGATGTTCAATGGTTACACATGTTACAGTACCTAATCTTTATTAAGGATGATCGCTACTCTGTTTCAAAATAATAAACTTTTTAAAAGACTGTTATAAATTGATAGTATATAAATAAAGGAACTATAAAAGCAAATAAAAATGAAGGGTCTGTGTGCTTGTTTTCGAGATATAAGCCATTGAAAATTTGGCGGGAAATAATTCTCTCTAGATTTTTCATACATTTAACATTGGCACCTTTTTTCTGTCTAAAAGTATGAAAAAATAACAAGGATTTAATAAGATTTTCAAAGATGGCATTTTAAACTATATTTAATCAAATTATAAAAAGAAAAATAGGGGTTAGTGGGCAAATTTTTTTAATGGCACTACATGGATAAAACCAGAGGATTTCGAATATCTGACAAAAATTCAAAAACAAGAGGAGCGAACATCCTTAAGCTAATGTACATGTTACAGTTAACATTTTGACATGTTACGGTAAACATTTTGACATGATACGGTAAACTTTTTGACATGATACGGTAAACATGTGACCTGATGATATAACCCAAATTTGGGCTTGAGCATTGGGTATAGGATGTTTTAATTATTGATGAAGTACATGGTAGTCACTAAGTCTTGATCTTTGGCTTATGATCAGGGGTCGAATTTAAGCTTTTATGTATACTCAGGCCAGCCGGACCAGTGGACTGAATAATCTACTGGTCCGGGTGCAAATCTACTGGTCCTGCAAAAATGACATTAATTTGACAAACACTAATATAAATGATAGATATTTACTTTTATTTTCGTGCTTTCTTTTACATATGTTAGACAAGAAAAAGAGAGAGTCTCCATCCTGATTTTGATAATGGCTTTGATAATCTCAATGATTTTCTTTATCAAAATCAGTATCAAGAACAGAAAAAATGTCAACATTGTCTTCCATATCATCACAATCCTCACGACGACCATAGGGCGCCTGACTGGGTTGTCTGGAGCGCTGCCCAGAAATGCCACATTTGAATAGCCGGGACAAATTTTTCACTTGATTTAATTCACTACATTGCGATCGACTATATAATTTAACAATTCATGATCTTTTTCCAAGGATTTTTTATATTAACGTTTCCTTTTGTCAATTTCTTAAACTTTATTCCAATCTTCCTCTTGAAAGACACTTTTTTATTTTTTTGTCTAGATGTCCTTCCAAAAATTTCCACATTTTGTGTTGTTGTGAAGGACGCTCACGATATTAATTAACTTGATCAATTGTAATACTTAGTACCGCCAGTACAGTGTAATTGATTTTGCAGTTAAAATTGTTTGCAAACAAACCGATTTTGGGATGCAATCGGAGTTTTATCGACAAATTTCTACTGGTCCGCCGGACCACCAGCTGACAAAATCTACTGGTCCAACGCAAATTCTACTGGTCTCGGTCCACCAGACCAGCGCCAATTTTGACCCCTGCTTATGATACACCTAAATATCAAGACTTGAAATAGTATATTACATGGTAGTTTACCAGTATTTCATTTCAAGCTTTGCCCAACTAAATCTTGATAATTGTAAAGAAAATCTGTACATATTTCAATATTTTTAAAATTCTTAACTTTCTTTTCTATAAATAAATAAAAAATTTCAAAGAACCATTAAATTGTTTGTGACTGTTGAGTATTTTTCTATTATAGCCATTATCTTTGACTCATGAGTTTGAATGTCCCTTTGGTATCTTTCACCTCTCTTTTAGACTTAAGATAACACTTAAATAACTTAAAGCTGATGAAACAATTAAGTGGTAGGCTGGTATAAAGAATAATAGAAAAATAACATTATGAACTACCTTTGTAACTGTATTGCTGTGTTTTTCTTTGAAAGCTGCATTTCAATTATACTAGATGGCTTTATGTAAAAGATGTCTTTGTCGGTATCTTTATTAGAAGACTGAAAGAAAAACATTAAAGTTTGTCTTTAATCAATATAAATTGCCTCTCCTGGTCCCTATATTAATTTCCAAACCCTTATTAGAAGACTGAAATAAATAACATTAAAGTTTGTCTTTAAACAATATACAATTATGGCCCGTTGAAAAGGTGAATATCCAAAATTGTCAACACAAGAGGGTTATTTCAATGAGGGTGCAGCCCGAAGAGAAATAACTTTTAAGGGTTGACAATTTTGGATATTCATGGATTCTAAGGGCCACAATTGTTTTATGATATACCGAACTAACAGTGGAAGGGCATTTAGAACACTTACTATCTTCTTTACATAACAAACACAAGCTGAGGTTTGAAAATACATTTGTGTTCTGGAATTTCTCGAATGTACAACAAAGGTAGAATCTTTTTGTAAAATATTGATGGCCCTGAAAAGGACCGTTTATAAGAGATATCATTGGCTGCTGGCACTCTATTCATGTCCAAAGCCTTATTCCTCGTCTCTCGATAGGCTGTCAGTGTAACGTGAACGATGCCATTTTGTTTATTTACGTCTGTGACGTCATTTTCATGGGAGATATCTCAAGTGCAAATCTAGACACTCAAAAGGTTATTCGCCGGTGAATGATAGGGTCATTCATCGCTGGTGTAAATTTTAAGGGTTATTCGTCCCCCCTTGCAATTAAATGAAAATTAACTGAATTATTCCATGTCACGTGATAAGGTGTTACCCAATAGAATTGTTTGTAATATATGTAAGGTATAATAATATAAATTGCCTCTCCTGGTCCCTATATTAATTTCCAAACCCTATCATTTTATAATCTATCCATTATTATAATTCAAACAAGGAAACTAACTGCACAATTCATGCACAAAGCAATAAACCAAAAAAAATGACAAATATGGCATATATATATTATATTCATCTTACAGCTTTGTAAGATATTGAAAAGTTCTCTGAAATTCTTAGTATCATAATTTTCTGGTTTTTTGTTGAAAATTTTGCATGGTCATATTAATTAGCAATTTGTGATCGTGCTATGGAATTTTCTCTTTCTAACTTTTCGATGTTCATCTAAAATTTGTAGTGGTAAAATCATGGCAATTTTTTTTTAAATAAGTAATACATTGTACATTATAACATACATACATTTGTAGGGAAAATTTCATTACTATCCATTTTCAATTAAAAGTATTCTAAAAATAGCAAATTTGTCAAAACAGCTAGATTACATGTATCTTACCACTGATGGTTTAAGTTCTAATCCTTCAATGTCAAGATTCCATATCTTATGGAATGGAGGAATACTCTTTATATTGTCTTCAACTACTACTCTGATTATGTGTAAAATAAACTTAAAAAGTTCTTGATCCTAAAAATAGAAAGTTTTGCAATGTACACCATTGTTCCAGGTTTGGCGAAGGGTTTGGTTAACCAGCAACTTCCTGTATGTGGAATTCTGCATGCATGTAGTTCACAATTTTAGTGGTCATCTTTTTTGGCTGTTAAATTATACATCATATTTGTTTTTCATTTTTAATATTTTGTACAGTATAAATTAAATCAGGCCATTAATTCTCTTTTTTCTATTGTTTATTATTTGTCATTTCTGGGCCTTCTATCATGATATAGCTTACTTTGAAGCATTAGTTTTACTCATAGTTGAAGGTTGTGCTTAGACAAGTAGTTGTTGTCATTTAATTATCACTATCAGGATGAGTTCATAGTCTCATTGGCAATCATACCACATCTTCTTAAAATCATATGAAACGAATTACTGGTGAAAAATAATATTTATCCAATTCTTGAAATGCATTTATATATCATAAAGAAACTTCATTGCAAGATTTTTTCATATTTTTATGCATCCATATAAAGTGTATTTTTGGAAATTGATACCCCGGGGGGGTTAAATCCTATATTTTTAGTGGTACGAGTGTGCCGCAAAACAGGGTCGCTTTTTCATGCCCTGCTGGTTAGAACAGGGTCCCTTTTCATGTCCTGCTGGTTAGAACAGGGTCACTTTTTCATGCCCTGCTGGTGAGAACAGGGTCTTTTTTTAAACAAAGTATTTGTCTAGAACAGGATCGCTTATTTAACTGTTTAAGATACAGTCTAGAACCCGGTCCCGGGTCTAGAACAGCATCTATTTTACATTTTCTTGGGCGTGTCTAGAACAGGGTATGTTTTTCAATATATCTGTTTAGAACAGGGTATATTTTTCAATGTTTTCTAGTTAGAACAGGGTATGATTTGGCAAGTGCTGTCGGCACAGTTATAGCCGAAAGGATAGTCAGTAACCCCCCCCCCGGGATTGATACTAATTTGCTTGACCGGACACCATGATTGCAAGATTGAAGATTGCAATATATATGATTATAAAAGCGCTTACTATACAGTGATATTTTGATCCACGTAACACGTAGAGCAGTAGCTCTAGCCTGTTGGCGAAAGGGAAGTAGTCGTCTGTAAAAATCTCTGAATCATCGAGTTCCTGTTTAGTTGCACTGTCACTGTCAATGTTGAAGTTCTCTTGCCACACATCATGTCTCTGTACTTTGTTCTCCTTCACAAAACTGCAATAAACCTATTACATCTTTATGCTTTTTTGTTTCTAGATGTTTGCAGTAATTGCTCTGTTTTTCTGTTGAAAATTCGCAAGGATTACACTGAAACATTTCAAATGCAGAATCAGAAGCAGAATGCTCGTGCAGTGATCAGGTGATTGAAGCGCTTGTAAAAGCTCTTTAGAACGCGTCGATTCAAACGTTTTTAAAACCTTGGAGTATAATTTTCGTCTGCAACTATTTCACGAGACATATTATAAAGATTAAAAGAAGACATATTTTTAAAACAAAAAAAAGAAGAATTTTTGATAGTCTTAGAGAGACAATAACAGGTGATTTGCAAAACACTAAAGTAACGTATATTTTGATATAAAAGTAAGATGAAGTCCAACAAGTCACTTACACGTGGCTAATTTACATACGATCTATCCATTGGTGTCTTCACTGAAGCAGATAATAGAAAAACATTGAAACCATTGAGGGTCTTCAGGGTATGTTTTAAAAAAAAATGCAATAGAAATTGTCGCACGGAACACGAGTAGATCTATTCCGATTTAATGGAGACGTGAACGTTGAAAGATCAAAGATCGTCGAGCTCAGTCGCCGAGGGTCATCGTCACAAAGGAGAAGGTTCACGAAGGGTTAAAATTGGCCCTATTTTGTTATGTTTTTTAAATGGGGCCAAAAAATTACAAACCGGTTAAAAATCATTTATAGTATACGATGGATTTACTTTCCATTTTGACAGAAAATAATAAAACGGACTTATTCTGCTTGAAATCCCACTTGGGTTCCACTTCCTCGTTGGTGTGTAGGGAACTCAGAGTCAGATTAACGGAAATGGTATTTGTACTAGTAAATAATTGAATAAATTAATAAATAAATAAGTACTATTACCTGTAGTTACCTAATACATAGCCAAATAAATGCGCGCAAATCTTATCAAAAGCTGCGCGCAAACGTAATGATTCTTGCTCGCAAATGTAATGTTAATGAGCGCAAACGTAATGCACCGTCATATATACAAGTCATACAAGTCTTAATTTAAAAAGGAGCCGGGGGGTCGAGTCATGCTTCAGTGATTCCCTATATAATCAACCAAATTGTTCCCACGAAAGGGGGCGGACTAGACCCCCTGGGTCCGCATATGAATATACACAAAACGTTCACAGTATATATCAACAGATGAAGTATTCACTTAAAAAAGAAAATTTATGGAAACGTCGCCATGCAACGTTCTCAAAAAGTCATCATTTAAACCATGAAAGTAATATTCAAACAATATTACTTCCATGTTTAAACTGAATGAGCAAATTAAATATGTTACAAGCATCCATTTCTTAAAAAAAATGAAAAGTGAGCACGGACTAATGTGAAGTTTATCCAGGAACATATATGTTAGATATACTGTTCCCAGGTTGTTCTAAATATTTGAAGAAATTGAACAAAACATCTGTTATTCAATTTTTAAGGATGTGAACACTAACTTGTGATTATCATCTAAATAGATATAAGAAGATGTGGTATGAGTGCCAATTTTTTTTTATAAAATATCAAAAAATAACTCTCCATCCTAGTAACAATTTGTAAAAGTAAACCATTATAGGTCAAAGTACGGTCTTCAAAACAGAAGCTTAGCTCACACCGAACAGCAAGCCATAAAGGGCCCAAAAAATGACAAGTGTAAAACCACTGAAAAGGGAAAATAAACGGTCTATAATCTATATAAAAAATGAGAAGCGAGAAACACTTATGGACCATATCAACAAACGACAACTACTGGGCATCAAATTCCTGACTTAGGACAGGTGCAAACAAATGCAGCGGGTTTAAACGTGTTAAAGTATTAACATTTTCATTCATACCCCAGAAATTCGTTGCCCCCTCATTGTAGTTCTACCCAATAGCTATATAATTTATGAGGGCATGCAGAGTCTATAATTCCTAGCTATATATAACTGCCGGTGCAATGGGTTTGAACAAGTGGGTGACCGAAGTGCATATTTGATCAGATTTTTCTTTTTTTCTGTGTAACGGACGGAATTTTGGGCCTTTAACAATGCTTACCCCAGAAATTTTTTACTCTAACCTTGAAGTACTATCCAATAAATATTCATTAGGGCAGCATCTATAATGCCTAGCCATAAAGAACTACCGAGACAATGGGTCGAATTTGGCTTTATTTCCATGTTACGGACGCAATTTTCGTTCTCTATGAATGATTATCCCATAAAATCGTTCCCCTCGTTGTAGTACTACCCAATAGTTATTTATTAGAGTAGAGTCTATATTCCTTAGCCATACAGAACTGCCGGTGCAATGGGTTTAAACTAGTGGGTGACCCCAGTGCATCTTTGATAAAATTGGACTATTTTTCCGCGTTACGGACGGAACTTTCGGCCTTTAAGAATGCTAACCCAGAAATTCTTTACCCTCACCTTTTAGTACTATCCAATAGCTATTCATTAGGGCAGCATCTATGCTGCCTAGCCATAGATAACTACCGAGACAATGGGTCGGAAAGTGGGTGACCCGAATGCGTATTTTATCGAATTTGGCTTTATTTCCATGTTACGGACGTAATTTTCGTACCCTAGGAATGTTCATCCCATAAATTCGTTGCCCCTTCGATGAAGTACTACCTAATAGCTATTTATAAGAGCAAAGTCAATAATCCCTAGCCATACAGAACTGCTGGGGCAATGGGTTTAAACAACTGGGTAATCCCAATGCATATTTGATCAAATTTGACTTTTTTACCGTGTTACAGACATAAGTTGCTGCTTTAATTATGTAATAAGTATATATTTTCTTTACTATCATTCCTAGATCCAGATATGGCTGAAATGCTGAGAAAACTTTTCTTGATGCCACTTGAGGTATAACATGTATATAAATCATAATTAAGTATTAGTTAGTAGAAAACATCTACGCTTAGAAAAATTAGATAAACTGTGCTGGGATGATAACACAAAAGTTGTCTTCTTGTTTTGATTATTCTCATTATGTCGCCCAGAATTAGGTATATTTTTTAAAGACTCAACAATCAATGAAGTCTTCAATTGGAGTGACAAAATTCAAACAGAATTTAAGTGAACGAATTTAATGTAGCCACCGCACAAACGGCCATTTCATGATGTATAACATTCGAAAGATTGTTATTTGTACTTTCTTCTTCGTCCGTTTAAAAAAAAAATACATGGTAAATTCCGTTAAATCGAAGTCAAATGTGAAGAATTAACAGTTCAAAATTTTCATAGAATTAAACAAAAAGCTTATACTAAAATGTATGAATATGATCATATAAAAGCTGGAAAATTGAATACTGTCAGCAGTTTTAAATTCATCATCTAGATGGTTTGTAGATAAAAAGTTCTTGCTGCTAAACTATATATATGTCTTTATGTCTTTCATCATAAAATAGAATGAAGTAGAAGAAGAAACAGAAAGTGCAGAAAATCTTCAAAGAAATCAAAATAGAGTGGTTGGTAGAACTTGGCATTAACCTTCAGAATCTATATATTTTTAAGAAACAATTGACACAAAAAACTGTATTCAAAGCAGACATACAACTGCACAAAAAAGATTTAGGTAACAACTGACAAAGGTTCTGTGAACGTAATAGCAAAAGTGAAATGACTTTTTGATTATTTATAAGAAATGAATTATATACATAGTGATTTTAGCATCGTTTTTGTAATTACATTATGGCTGTTAAATTGTTGACTAAGCACACATGTTCAGCAAGCTCCTGAGGTTCACACAAAGTGTGCCTCGATCAACGTTTTACATCACATTGAATCTACTTAAACGATTCATTCAAATGTTTATGGTACAAGATAAATTTTCGTCATAGTTGTCTTGGCATCAAATAGAATTATCAAAATTGAGAATGGAAATGGGCAATATGTCAAAGAAACAACAAGACCAAAAACCAGACAACAGCCGAAGGCCACCAATGGGTTTTCAACGCAGCAAGAAAATCCCACAACAGGAGGTGGTCCTCAGCTGGCCCCTTACTAAAATTGTGTACTAGTTCAGTGAAAATGTACGTCACACTAAACTCCAAAACATATAAATAAACTAAAATTGAAAAACATGCAAGACTAATAGAGTCTCCTGAATTTGGACAGGAGCAAAAATGTCATATATTTTGACTGGAGCATGAAACTTCAGTTTAAGTGTTTACTCAAGTTTTGATCTGTAATGCAGACACTTCTTCAACTTGTTTGAAAGATAAAGTGAAATTTTACAACACATAAGCAGAATTTATAGTTTTCTATGAAAATGTTTTAAGGTTCATTTTCATAGGATAACGTCACCAATTTTCATGGTATCAACAATTGGTGCTATTTAAACGTGCGCGAATGTGCAATCGACGTATGACAAATTTAAATGTATATTGGACGTTGTTTTCTGTCATTTTCATTAGAATGGAGATAACAATGTTGTATTTTAAGCTCAGACGGCATCAATTGGTGATTTGATGGTGACAAATACCCGTACTCTTAATTTGCGACCATCAAATAACCAATAGATGCCGTCGTAGCTTAAAATACAATACAGATATATCTCCTAAGTATTCGTCATTAACGATTTATGCTGCCCTTAGCATTATTTTAGTAACCATACAATGAAAAAAAATACTATTTGAATACAGATTAAGAAACTACAATTTCAAAATCAGTTTATGAAGTTTTTAATTCATTAATTTAGGATCAGTTGGATTATGTTCCAGACAGCTTTGAGAGCCAAACAATTTCACAGATTGTTGAAAGAAATGAAGGTGAATTATACGTACTCTTTTATTACACTTTAGCCATTAGATTTTTATAAAATACTATGAACAACTACAAATACATAATTTCTTGGAACATTTGGCTAATCAAGGGTTGAACAAATCTTATTCTTTCTCTAGTAGTAACACAGTTCCAGAATCCATAACCAGTTATTTTATTTCCCTTATTTCTAATCAGTTTAAATTACATGCAAGGTGCAAATCGAGAAAACTACTTTTTATGTAGAGATATTTTCTAATATAAAATTATAAAAAGCAGACTCTCCATGAGAAAAAATAATATTCTGCACTTAGAAATATGTTTTAATTGCTAAGTATATACAAAAAAGAATTTGAAAAAAATATACAGTCAATGCATCATGACTGCGCAAAATATAAGGGTTGCAATATAGAGCCATTTATGACTTAATACAAGCATGATACAGAAATAAACAACTATAGGTTGGCGTAACGCCTTCAACAATGAGCATAGTCTATACCGCATAGTCAGCTATAAAAGGCCCATAAATGACAAATGTAAAACAATACAAACCAGAAAACTAACGGCCCAATTCATGTAGAAAGTAATGAACGAAAAACAAATAGGTAGCACAGCAACAAACGACAACCACTGAATTACAGGCTCCTGACTTTGGACAGGCCCATACACAATGTGGCTGGGATAAACATGTTAGCAGGAACTAAACCCTCCCCTAACATGGAACAGCGGTGTAAGTGTGTATTTGTTTATTCGACATTGGCTAGAGGAAAACAAAACACTTATAACCCCGTAGCTTTTGGCAACTGTCCTAAATCCGGAACCTCTGTCCTCTGTTAGTCTTTTATGTTCTTTTTAATTGTGGTTCCTTTATATGTTTCTGACCTTAGGGTAAGGTCTTTTTTCGCGTAACTAGTATACATTTTTGTTACGGGGCCAGGTGAAGCCCACTTGAAGGGTGCGGGATTTGCACGGTGTGTTAAACGTCGCAAATCATCTTAAGTTTTATTTATTGTTCGTTATAATTTTTTACTTAGCAATTTCTTATACGCATCTTTCTCACACAAATGTTTCAGGAACAAGTGACAACCAAGACCATGTTCCAGGTAAGAAATTGGCAATTAAGGTCAAGTAACAGTTTACTACAAGTGGCGAACAAGTGTCTTATTAAGATATAAATGGGGAATGTGTCCATGAGACACAGATGATCCATATAAGATTATAAAAGGCCATAAACGCAAGAAAGATAAAAGTGACACTACCAAAGTTTTCTAGCTGTGATAAAGACACATTCCCTATTTCCATTCTCAATTTATGTCATAGATTTTCTTAAAATATTTCGCATACACCTTTCAATTGGCTCGTTGAACAACTAAATATCGAAAAAAATCCCTTTTATCTCTTATATTTGTAACTGAAAGTTTGGGGTATATTGTTTTACCCCTGTCTGTCTGTCTGTCCTTCCGTCCGTCCGTCCGTTCATCTCATTTTGATGTATATACTTGCATAACAGGAGCGTTAACTGTTTCCAGATAACTCCTCCTACAGTTTTAATGCTAGGCAGTTTTCACTATGATGGCTGTTTGTACATATGCTGAAGGTGTGAATGTGGTCAGGATTAATTTTTATTAATTTTTGCTTTTGGGAGATAAAATTACTTTGTCATTTTTTGGGGTGTATGCAGTTAAATGTTATAGTTATTTTTAAATAACACGTTGCATCTGTGGGGCATCAATTTGTCTCCCATACACAACAATATCTCAAAGAAAGTCTCACATTGACTTTTTTTATAATTCAGTTACTTCACAGTGGAGTGCGGGGGCATCACTTTGTCTAGTCTTAAGTATATATGATTTAAATCTTTCAAAATAGGTGAACATAAATATTGTATAGGAAATATATAAAATTTACGAAAAACGATCTAAACAAGAATGTGTCCATAGTACACTGATGCCCCACTCGCACTATCATTTTCTATGTTTAGTGGACCGTAAAATTGTGGCCAAAACTCTAATTTGTCATTAAAATTAGACAGATCATATCATAGGGTACATGTGTACTAAGTTTCAAGTTGATTGAATTTCAACTTCATCAAAAACTACCTTGACCAAAAAATTTAACCTGGAGCGGGACAGACGGACGAACGAACGAACGCACAGACCAGAAAACATAATGCCCCTCTACTATCGTAGGTGGGGCATAAAAATGTTTTAAAACTTTTGATACGTAGATTTTTCTTCAATGTGGTGTCGGTAAAACAAAATCAACAGTTAAAGATGTAAGATGATTATAGGGTCAGAAACAGATTTAATATAAATACAAAGTGTCTCCTTTATAGCCAAATATTTGGTGTGTATTTTTCACATTGTTGAAAACCGTACATTTGCCTTTTAATTGCTTACATTTACTTCGTTTGAAATTTGCTGGATAATTGTATCATTGGTAATCATTGTTATCATACCACACCTCCTTATTTTTTTCTCCATTTCTTTTTAATTAAATCAGGGCCGTAACTACATTGAGGCAAATGAGGCAAATGCCTCATGTTGAAAATTTCGAAAAAAAAATGATAAATTGAAACAAAAAATTGTTTTCACGGCGAGTGTCTTGCAAGAAGCAAGTTCTGTTCATCCTCTGATGTCGTCCCCTGTTTTTCGGGATCCATGTTCCTCATTTATTTTTAGTTTTCAGTGTTGATGGTCTATTGTTTGTCGTTATGTGTCTTATCTGTTACCGGGTTTGTCTTTTGGTCGTTTATTGCCCTTCTTTATGACTATTGTCTTAGTGTTGAATTTCATTTGTAAATTTAATTTAGTAATTTTGTTTTAAACTTGAGTTTTATTATATTTAAGGACCTTTTGTCTAATTTTAAAACCTACTTTAAATTGTAAAACTATTTGAAATTAGCTCTCAATTTTTTGTTCTAAGTCGGCGTTAAGCGGACACCAATCAATCAATCAACCAATCAATCAATCAATCTTTATGACTAACGCTTTAGTTGTCCAATATTAAGCTGTTGTTGGTTTCTTCTCGTAACATCTGTATGTTGTAAACGTTCATTCTCTGCTTTGAGTAGACTTAAGACTTGAGAAAGATCAACGATGACGGGTGAAAGGTTGTGTGGTTTGGCAATGTTGCATGTCCACCGATGTCCAGACATTGTTCGAAAAAATGGTTTGAGAAGATTCCATGCTACCGGACATAGAAAAATTGGTCGTTTTTTTCATGGAAAATTAAACTTTATATTAAAGAATACAAGACTGGCTCTCTTTTCTGTAAATAAAACTCATTGAAAAAGCTGACATGGGTTAAATTAAAGTGAGACAACCAATCTCCCGGAATCAAATCATTTAAAAAGAAAAATCATGTATTGCCATACGACTTTTTACACTGAAGGCTAAACTTGCATTTAGCCGTGTTCAGGCCCTTAAATAGAAAGTAAAGGGATATGGAGTAAATGTGCATGGGGCAAAATCGCACACACTACATAGAAAAAGTACAAATTATCAATGAACATGCAGGGTTTTTATTTTTGTTCTTCATCTTGACAGTCGCTTGAGGGTCTTCAACAATGAAAGAATCATTCATACCCTACAACAAGGTCAAGACGGCCCCTAGCGTCAACTTAAGCGATACTTAAAGTATTGTACTGTGAATAAATTTCAAAGTCACAAAAAAATACACCAAAGTCTAAACACAATACAAGACCAGAACAGACAGATCCGACATTATCAGCCGGTATAAAATGTAGCAATGAGGTCTAAGAACAGTTTTCCTGAGACTACCCTGAGTGTACCCTTTTATCCCAGTTAGCAACTACATCAAGTAGTTGTAATTGAAATGCGTTATAAAATCTGAATTCACATAGTTAAATAAATGATAATCAGCCCCCTCTTAACTCTTAAAAAAATAATTGACAGGTACAATACGTTTTCTGCCTGCCTGCCAAAAAAAAAACAGCAGCCACACATTTAATTACTAGTATGTGAAATACGATTTTTGGTTAATCCTTCTTATCGGTCTTTTGATGTTGTCCTTAAAAACTAAGAGTCTTACAATGAATCTATATATTTTGCTTTGAGACCAGAATATTGTCGAAAACATAATTAAAACAAAACTTGCGTTTCAGATTGAGAACGGGTCCGAGAAACGCTCAAAATGCACAATTTTGCGTCATTTTTTCCAAAGCTTCTGGGGGCCTTCAGCGGCCAGACCCCTCGCCGAATATATTTTGCCTCACTTTTAAAAGAGACTAGTTACGGCCCTGTAAATTTCGACTTTAATAATGTCAAGGTATTTATCTTAAAATTGCTTTTTTGGGTTCCTTAGTACTTTCACACTTTCTTTTTGGGGGCATATATATTAAAACATACTAAGCAAATGGTCAAACTGCCGTAATGTATTATTTTACAGACATAAACATCTTCAAAATGTTACAGGACATGGAAATGGAAATTAAGGCTATGCATCAGACCATGCAACAAAGCCATCAATTTAGGGTAGAAGGCCAGATAAAAAGGGATATAGCCGTAGTTGCAAAGCGGTATTTTGGCCGTAATATGTTCTCAATTCCGGATGCTTGCAAAGTGAGTGCTATAATAATAAAGTTTTTATTGTATTGATTGTACTTTGTCAACCAGGAATTATCATTTTCGGAATTCGTGGAAACGGCTGTTATATTCGATATTTGCTGGTTTTCAGTCGGTGCTCAATACAATTTAATTGTGTTGTCAGTAAATTCATATCAATCTGAACATATGAGCATTCACAGTCCTACAATCTGTCGCTACTTACATGTATATAGTTAAACATTGCACACAGTTGTGTATTTCTATGACTGTTAATGACGACTATATGTTAAATCCTTCGGTTTGATACTTTAGCATTATAAACGTTACCTTTTTATTGCTTGTTTTGGCTTTCAAGAAGCTTTCAGTATCGACGGGTATTTCTAAACTTTGTGTCTTTGGTGTTTCTGTAAGTTGTGTTATGTGTGTTTTGTATCGATCTGGTATTTATAGCTTGTCCTGATATTTTACTGTTACACAACTGTCTCAGGTCAGCATACATGCATGTTTGTCCCGCCACATTTTGTATGTGTATGTCCCTAGTCACGATCCTGTAATTCGGTGAATGTCGTTTGGTGTAGTATATCATATTTTTTCCGTTTATTGTTTTGTAAATCAATAAAGACGTTAGTTTTCTCGTTTGAATTTTTTTACTTTTATAATTTTGGGGCCTTTTATAAATTACTTTTCGATATGGTTTTCTCATTTGGTTGAAGGCGGTACAGTGACCTAAAGTTGTTGTCTTTTACGTTATTTGGTCTCTGGTGGAGAGCTGTCTCATTGACAACGATACTTACTTATCATCTTCTTATTTGATATGAATGCCGGTACTTGGTCTATTTCGTTAATAAGATATGAGTCTGAAAGGAAACTTGTATCCATAAGAGTATAGTCAATGGCCGTTTTTAACACACTTACTTGAACAAGATAGACTTTTATAGCTGATCTTTAAACTGTGTAATGGATTACTTTATTTGAGGCTTCATATATTGCATGAACAGTGACTGTCTACGTTTTGATGGTATTTTCGCTCAATAAAGTCACGACGGGTGTCTAATACTTAAAGCAATAGGCCAACTATATTTGTTGTATGAATGATTGTAAGGTGTATATGTCTATCTGGCAATAATCTTCTGACCATGACCTCAGTGGTCAATCTTAAATTGTCCTAGTTATTTTTTGTTTATCAGATTCTATATGGAATATGTCAACAATATATAAAGCATGTAATAAATATATGATGTACACGTCTGTCTGGCGGGGCTCATTTGACCTTGACATCATTTTCATGGTTCATCGATCAATGTTAAATTTTCCTTGTTAAATGTTGTTTCATAGAAACATTGTGCAATATATCAAATATATTCAAAGCAAATTTGGTGTATGCATTGATTGTAAAATGTACATGTATTTCAAGTTTGGTTTATCTGACCTTGACCTCATTGTCTTGGATCCAGTTCAGTTTATGTGATAGTTGTAGTAATTAAAGCTTAACAACATAAAATCAATGGTAAGTAAGAAAGGCAAGATATTTCAGCGTGTGCAATCTTGTTTAATATAAGGTTTAGGAGGAAAACTTTCTATTCTTCTTGTAGACTGAAGTAAGTGAATTGATACAAGAGGAAATGGGCAGGCAGGCAAAAGTTTCCGAAATAAAGAAAGCTTTATCTTTTGTAAAAAGAAAGTATTCAACTGAATACAGGCCAGCCATTTATAGAACGGTAAATGTAGTTTAAATAAAGCTAGGTTATGTTACTGTCATACAATTCAATAAAAAAAACAGATTTTTTTTTTATACCTATCTACTAACAAGATGAAATTGTGAATGGAGATGTTCATTGTGTCAAAGAGACAACAAACCGACAACAGAACAGAAAACTGCCCAAGGCCATCGACAGGCCTTCAACACAGCGAGTAAACTCCACACACAGAGGCTGTCTTCAGCTGGCCCCTAACCAATAATGAGTACTAGCTCAGTGAAAATAGACATCGCACTAAACTCCAAAACATATAAATGAACTAAAATAAATAAAAACCAAACCACAAAATCAAATAATGTATATTTTGAATAATATCCAAGTCAACTGCAACTAAATCTAATTATCACTTAACAATGAAGGCTGAAACTAAGCTAAGATTAAGCAAAGCATGAAGTTCACAGCAAGTTCACATCAAGTTCAAGAAAATGCCATTCACCTGCATCTACTCGAACTTAAGAAAAAGAAAAAAAACGTAGAAGTTCATTTGACTGCTAAGTGCTAAATCTGTTAAGTATTCACTAGTTACATTTGATTCCACATGATCAATTTAAAATTTCGTATTGTAGCTCAGAGCAACTATGGAACAAACTAAAGAGAAGCAACTACGGAGTTTGTTCGGAAACTACACCGACGCATCAACAGCAGACAAAGAAGTTGTTGATTACAGAAAACAAATGGTGTTGATAATGGTAAATAAGAAGAATTTTCATTAAAAAAAACCACCACATCCAGTAACAAAATCAATCACATATAAAATTTACGCCACATTCTATATGTATGTGCCTGTCCCAAGTCAGTCGTTTTGTGCTGTGTTACATATTTTCTTTTCGTTATTTTTTGTATATTAATTAGGCCGTTAGTTTATCCGTTTGAATTGTTTTATATTTGTCATTTCGGGGCCTTTTTAAGCTGACTATGTGGTATGGGCTTTGCTCATTGTTGAAGGCCGTGCGGTGACCTATTGTGGTTGATTTCTGTGTGATTTGATCACCAGCAAAGAGTTGTCTGATTGGCATTCATACAAAATATTCTTGTAATATATTGACAAAAAAATGACTTTTCTTTTATGAATATTTCTGTTACTTAAGAAAGACACGATACTTAAATTTACACTAAATACCAATTGATTGATTGATGGTTTGTTTAATGTCAAGTTGCAAATATTTCAGGCATATTCCGGACAAGACCAAATACTTTTAGGTACTGTAATTGTTTTGAAAATTAAGAGTTTTACCGGAAAATGAAGATAAAGTTAATTAATCATTTTGAGATGGGAATGTTCTTTAAGTCTGACCTTACGATATGTCATTTTCACGTTGTGTTTGATATGCCTGTTTATGCCGCCATTTTTTGGATTTCATTGAACGCAGTCTTGAAATGATATATTTGATAACAATACTATTCAAACATTTACAAAATTCTTTTACATTTTATTAATTTATTACTAAAATATTATGCCGGGAAATTCCTTTGTTTTTAGTGGGAATTAAATAAATTTTTGTATTCATTTATTTTATAGAGATTTCTTCATAGAGAAAATCCGCCAAAGGGAACCTTTTGGAGAAAGGTGGAAGATTTACATACTGAGATTGAGGGAAAGGAAAAAGAAACACGCCTTTCCCTCTACCAAGGACTCTTGAGAAGGGAGGAAAGAGAACAATAAAAAACTTGAAACACATTGTTGTTGGACAATTTGGATTAATGTTTTCTTAAGATATTTAATCATGTTCGTACTCAAATGTGGACAGTTTTTAGGACCTTGCATAGTCTTGATGCATATATACTGTACAATAACATCTGGTTAACACACCAAATGGGTGAAATCTCTTCGTTCTTACTGTGCTATAATCTGGATAATGCACAGCAAACGTGTGCAACTTTAACTACCTCAAACAGGGCGAGGGATAATAAGCTGCAGATCAATTGTTTAGATGCGACATGTCTTAAAAATTAATACAGTAGAAAAAAATTAAAGGGGGAACGGGGGAAGTCAAAGATTGAAAAGTAAAACATTTTTTTTCTGTTTACTTAATATTTCAAATATTGGTAAATTTCTCCTCGGTTCACTTCCTCTAAGCATATTATTGAGGGAAAGAAAGTAAATTAATATACTCAATAACCCTTTCAGTTATGATTTTTCATACATCGATTTAAAAGTACACAAAACGGAACTAAAACTGTAGGAGATGTAGGTTGTACGTCAATAAGTCAGCAAGCAAATGACAAAAAAAAACCAAACTAATGACTACCAGAGGACAACGTATAGTATTGTTTTCAACAACAGATAGGCGTCCTACGTTGTTCGGGTTATTTAGGGTCACCCGAGCCGTGCGGATTAAATGATGTATACAGACTTGCTTGGTTAATAACTATAATATGTAATTAACTTGAATATCCTAGTTAAAAATTGATGTGCATGTGCAATAAACTAGCTAACATTTCTTTTTATTCAAATTAGTATAAACGAATGATGCCTTAATACCCCAAATTTATTCAGCTCTTCATTCAAAATTGTCCTTCAACATTAAAACCACACAAATAAAAAGATAAGAAAACCATAAAGTCGGTTTACAATTTGTTCTCGTTGAATACAAAATACTAATGTTGAGTATTTCAAGACATTTCTTAAAAAAAAAAGATTTTTTTGTAAAAAATTAATCAATTGTCAGATACCTGAAATACAATTTAATCACGAACATTTTAACATTTTTGTCAAGTTCTCCCTGCATGCTTAATTTCATAACCAAAAAATCATGAAAACTTCATCCGTATTGATATGGAGTCAACATGGGTATCGTCTCCACAAAATACTCCATGGAAATACCCTGCAAATATTAGACATTACAATGTCAAAGGACAATGTCTGCGAGTGTCACTTTAAATGAGGTATCCCAAAAAATTGGTTAAACCGGTGCCAACAGATATTGATAGGTGTGTACTTTCTTAAAAGTAACTTTGCAAAATATAACCATACAAAATAGCCAATGGACCAGAAAAAAAACTTTGTATCTAGTAAGGAAATATGTGAACTTTACATTTAAGACTGGATTTGCAGTTTAAGTAGTTCAAACAAGTAAACTGTCTTATCATTATAACCACTGTTTGACGTTTAAACAGTAACAGTTCTGATATGGACTACTTTATAATCTATAGTTTAATGTGGTAATAAAAAACAAGGACATGTGGTAGGATTGCAATCTTTCAACCAAAGAACAGGAGTAACCAGTAATCATAATGTGATATACATTTGAGGTCAGCAAAAGTGTAAGTCCGCCACATTTATATGAGTCTGTCCAAAGTCAAAAAAGGACATAGTGCCATTGGTATGTAATTGTGTAGTTTAGCATTTACTTTACAGAATGAAATTTTGTGTTGCACGTCAGAATAGTATTACCATTTTAATTGTTGTTGAAGCAAGTCGCAGCTTATTGCATGGCATGGACTACCTACTGTTAAAGACTGTGGCATTGTGACTTATAAATGACATTGCTGAAAATCTGCTTTTCATACACATTAACAATGAGGATATAATATTGCATGGAAACTCAAATCTCTGTTAGTGTAACACTCCTTACCTTTAGGAGACACATCTGTTCTAGCTGAAGTGTCTATTTGAATATTTAACTTTAACATTAAAGCAGCAGCCAAAAATGAAACAAGATATAAACAAGGTTAATAAGATATATAAACAAAATGCAGCGTAAGCATGTGGTTCATCGAAAAAAACTTTCAAGGCAAAATGGAAAGTTAAATGAAAGAATACTTAACAAAAATCATCTTACAATAGTATAGTTCTTAGATGACTTTTTGATTAGGTATAAAATATGAATACTATTTCATTACTGAAAGTTGATTGAAATGTTCAGAACTGAAAAACTACTAAACTTTACAGTACTGAAAAATGACTGAAATATTCAGTACTGAAAAATGACTGAAATATTCAGTACTGAAAAATGACTGAAATTTACAGTACTGAAAAATGACTGAAATATTCAGTACTGAAAAATGACTGAAATTTACAGTACTGAAAAATGACTGAAATTTTCAGTACTGAAAAATGACTGAAATTTACAGTACTGAAAAATGACTGAAATTTTCAGTACTGAAAAATGACTGAAATTTTCAGTACTGAAAACAATTTTTTCTCAACATTACTAAAAATGATATATAAATAAATGTACTGATTAGTGATGTTTCTTAAAAGTACTGTTTATATATCGGCATTTAATGTACTGATTAGTGATGTTTTTTAAAAGTACTGTTTATATAGCGACATTAAATGTACTGTTTATATAGTGGTATTTAATGTACTGATTAGTGGTGTTTCCTAAAAGTACTATTTATATAGCGGCATTTAATGTACATGTAAACGTTAGGCAAATTGTTGGTAGTGTATCTATCACATGAACTTGTCCGACTTGGCACCAAGATGCATATACATGTGGAGGGGTTAAACCGATTTTGTTGACGTCTAACGTTAGATATCTTTTGGTTATACCTAGTATCCTTTTTCTGTGGTTCTTCTTCTTTTTATAATATAACTAAAACTATAGATTATATAAATATATGCAGCCATTAATTATAAACCTGTTGCTGTATAAGAAATAATGCGGATTCATAACTATTTTTGACAAGACACTTTTTTGGACCACCCAATTGTAATGAAGTCTGTAATGTAGTTCACATGATTCTCCTATAGATAGAACACTTTTTTTCTGATACCATGATTGTTTGTAAAAAAATCAAAGTAATTTCAAAGAAAATTTCAAGATCTTCTTATAACATAAATCTTGGCTTAGTTGAATCAATTGCTGGATATTACCCTTTATCTAAGTAAACCTTAGTTTCAACATATTTTATTGTTCTAAAGGACAAATGGTCCGACTCAAGTTTTTATTTCCAACTTATTTCCTACTACAGTTAGAGGATGGAAACCAATTTTGGGGACGTTCGGGACGGGAGGACATGGGTAACACTTAGTGCCCCCTCCGCTATGACGGGGGCATATACACAAATTACCTATGGAAAAGAGTCATACTTGCAAAAGACAGAAATGAGATATGTTAATTCTTTTATGAAAGTTTTGTTAATCTACAATAATTTAATCTTCTAAAAATAGTTTACTCAAATATGCAAGTGCCTGTACCAAGCTAGGAACCTTCCCACTGGTTGTCTCATGTCAAAACTTTGTATTTAAAAGAAATAAATGGGGAATGTGTCCATGGGACACTGATGATGCCCCAGCTTGCATATAACTTTATAAAGGGACATAACTCAAGAACTGTATAAGTGACGCTACCTAAATTAGTACTTGATCTGAGCTACAGCGGGAAAAAAATGTTATTTGTTTGGAAAATTCTGTGTTTATATATTTTTTATTCATCTTATTCACAACTGTTAAAGACTACTAACAATTGAGAGCATGCAACATGTATGGTGTATGGACTGCATGTTGCCCTTTTGATGCTTGTTTGTTTTTTTTTGGTCGATGGCTTGCTGTCTGATTCATTGGCGGATTTTGGGGGTTTTGGGGCAGGGGCCCAGCCCCACTAATGGAGCTTCAACAATGGTTAATGCATAGACTTTTCACATGTCCCATACCATGGAATGACCTCAAAATTTGTTAAAATACTTGCTATTTCAATGTTTTCTATTTCATTTTAAACGGAATTTTACATTTTAAGACCTTATCTGTAACGTTATACAATGATTTTAATTTGAATTGTATAATATTCTGAAAGAGCCTGTGGTTGAAAATTTACACTCATTACAAGTTAATTCCAGGTTCTATTGATCTCTTGAATACACAACTGTATGTCTGTTACATTGTCGTATTGTTTAGAAGTTCTCTCCTGCATATAATTGCTATTATTAGTAGCCATGAATTTCTTCATACATTTGCATGGTATTATCCTTGTTAGATGTTGAATCAATGATAAAATCCTGTTATGCATTAACCACACCAGACTCTTGGAATACTTCATACAGCTGATGTTATCTAAAAATAAAAATCATTGTATAATATTTGTAAAATAATCATCAAATACTACCTTACCAATCAGGATTGTCACTCTTGAAAATATATATTCTAACCCAAAATAATGAAAACGTACAATCATTTTTCACTCGCTCTGCTTGCCAAATGTACAAAGCATGTACATGTATACAATACATAAATATTGTATGTGGCAGTTGAATGTAAAGAAAAAGGACTTAAAATTAAAAGTCAGCTTTTCTTTACCTTTTGTGAAAATTATGTTCTTTCATAGCATTTTTCTTTTTACTGCACTAAACATAAACAATGTTTATGTACATTTGAGGAGAGGCATGTTGTCTAGTTTTTAAGAAATGTATTAAAGAAGATGAAACAAACTAATAATCTTAGATTTTTTTTTAATTAATTTTAACTTTTGCAAATGCTATATATTTGTATTGTTAAGTAAAGATGAGAATGAAAATGGGGACTATGTCAAAGAGACAACAACCCGACCAAAGAACAGATAACAGCCGAAAGCCACCAATGGGTCTTCAAAACAGCGAGAAAATCCCGCACCCGGAGGCGGGCTTCAGCTGGCCCCTAAATAAAAATGTGTACTAGTTCAGTGAAAATGGAAGTCATAATCAACTCCAAAACATATAAGTGAACTAAAATTTAAAAACTTACAAGACTAAAAAAGGCCAGAGGCTCCTGACTAGGGACAGGCGCAAAAATGCAGTGGGGTTAAACATGTTTTGTGAGATCTCAACCTTTCCTATACATCTAGCCAATGTAGAACAAAGGATTACTATCAGTAACTGACATGCCAGCTCCAGACCTCAATTAAACTGATTGAAAAATTATGTATTCTTCATATGAAAATCAAGCACAATCTCTCCCGTTAGAGGTTTAGTATCATACCATCATAATATATATGAGAAGAACATAACCCGTATCATACCAACAACTGGTTTTATTGTGTTTATTTCCGATGCAAAGACCCTATGAGTGAATCAATATTAATACCAAAATATGCCATCTGTGTGTATATTTGTATTATTTTGTAGCAGTCCGACTCCATTGTTTGGATTTGATATCTATAAATATCTTATGTCAAAGACCCCCTGCTGTTTGTTATGCTATTACATTTTCATGTTTTTGATTTTAATATTGATACATAGGATTTTGAAAATAAATAAAATCTCATCGAACAATCAGTTTTTACTGTGATACATGTATAACAAGATAAGCATTGTGACATAGGACATAGGATATACATTGAGAAGTGTATTAATTCTAAAGTTGTCCATATCCTGGCCTGGCTGGTACACAGGGGGGTCTCAACCTACAAATGTGTGTACAGACGTCTGGTTGAGGTTTGGAAAATACCTGCCATTCATATATTGATTTGTGTGTAAATCCCTTCCCATTCGTATATCATGTATATACTTAATAAGAAAATCAAAACCCATTTATATATATTTCCCAGCTATCATGAAAT